AGTTAAACATGTGAGAATAACTTCGGGTGATGGAACTGTTTATTACGTCATCTTGCTGTCAATTAGCAACACAACATTTAATCTGCTATAATTTAGGATATGGACAGATAACAATCAATGCCCGGAGGCACGGTACAGGTGCTGTGTTTGATATTTTTTTATGTTGATTTTTTTTTAAATATCGGGAATTCAAGCTGTAATACGGGGAAGTCAAAGACCGGGCCTGTGAAGCTGGTCCGGGCTTTGGCTTGCCCGGCTATAGACTACACATGTATATTTAAAAGAAAATAAAGAAAAAAACAATTAAAAAATATATAGAATTCTATACCTATCAATAAAATTTTCAGTGTCAGTTCTAGTCGGGCGCCGCCATTTACAATGTATGTCAATGATAATACGGGGAAGGCAAAGACCGGGCCCGCGAAGCGGGTCCGGGCTTTGGCTTGCCCGGCTATAGACTACACGTGTATATTTAAAAGAAAATCATATAAAAAACATTTAAAAAATATATAGAATTCTATACCTATCAATGAAATTTTCAGTGTCAGTTCTAGTCGGGCGCCGCCATTTACAATGTAACTCAATAATAATAGGCGGGGTATTCCGATAACGGAACAAATCTCCACTTTTCGGATAAATAATAAACGTCGAGTGTTCCGAGTAAAAACGGAAGCGGTGCATGTAATACCGAATGACAATTTTAAAACGGAAAGAATGAAATTTTTTAACGACTTCCCCGTTCATAGGCTTTGCCTAATTTCATATTAGGCGTGGTAGTCCGATAAACGGATGCGGTGCATGTAATACCGAATGACATGCCACCTTTAAAACGGAAAGAATGAAAGGAATTTTAACGACTTCCCCATTCATAGGCATTGCCTAATTTCATATTATCGGGAATTGGGATCAGTGTCGAAATATCGGGTTTTTTTAAAATCCCGCCGGGATATCACATGTATGAGTCTGTTTGAAGAACTTCATTTTGCATTTTACTCCTTACTCTAAATTTCGTTGGGGTAATTCTAACCCCTTGGCCTTAAAAATTATCTGGAGCTCTGAATTATTGGTCATGGTGTCTGTACTATTAAAAAAGAAAAAAATTTCAGAGTCAGAGACTGTTGACAACTTAAATGAAATCTTTATGCACCGAGATGTCAATTATATACGAAAAGTGGTCTTGTCCGAAAAATGTTGCTTAAAAATGAAATGGTTACCTGGCTTTCAAGTGATTTTTGCTGATCTTTATATTGCATATACAATTCCTTAACCGATTTCAATGTTTTTAAGTCATCCTTAAACTTCTCGTTTACAAATTCAATAGCAAATTTTTCAGATTCTGTCTTTTTCATGGGCGCTGCCATGTTGGCAATGCTTGTTTGATTGAAATAAAGATTAGAATATATTCTGTACCTTGTACAACAAATATTATGTTGTTGATAAACATATACAGATGTTTATCTCAAATACAATACGTAGAGGACATTCAAGATTTTATAATATGAAATTAGGCAAAGCCTATGGACGGGGAAGTCGTTAAAAATTCCTTTCATTCTTTCCGTTTTAAAGGTGTCATTCGGTATTACATGTACCGCTTCCGTTTTCATTCGGAACACGCGGCGATTAACATTTATCCGAAAAGTGGAGATTTGTTCCGTTATCGGAATACCCTGCCATTTATCATTGAGTTACATTGTAAATGGCAGCGCCCGACTAGAACTGACACTGAAAATTTCTTTGATAGGTATAGAATTTTATATATTTTTTAATTGTTTTTTATGTGATTTTCTTTTAAATATACACGTGTAGTCTATAGCCGGGCAAGCCAAAGCCCGGACCCGCTTCGCGGGCCCGGTCTTTGACTTCCCCGTAATATGAAAAAGGCAAAGCCTCAAAGCGAGCTCGATGTACTTTTTACGTGATATAGTATGAAATAATCGCTCAATTTTATTTCAAATGCAGTGACGAGTGCGTGTGACGTCACACGTACTGTTAAATATGGCTCCGCCCCTGTCGTGAAATGAATAACGAGTTTTGAAAACGTTGATAAAACTTTGTTTATTTTATTTCACTCTATATTTTTTCAAACGAAATAAACATTATTTAAAGTGAAATAAATGTAAAACTTAAAACGTTTGCGACATTAAAATAGCCATACTTGATTTGTTTGTTTTGCACGTGCTGTTTGGCGCTACATTGTGACGTCACGTAAACAATACTTTAAACGTCTGTACAGCGTTAACGACTGAATAAAAGATATTGGTGTTCGGATTCATTTTCTTAGTTAGACCATTTTCTTTCATTCTAGATAGTTTTCACAACAAAATTCGACAAAAAATTGTTTTTTATTTATCAGATTTCAAACAAAATGGCGCCTTCGATTTTCATTTTATCATTACAGCTTCCGTTATTCTGGTTCCCTGTCCAATTATGGTTCCCATAGACGTGCGCGGGTGACCAGTCTAGACATCCGTTTTCAGTCAGAATTCCTCAGTTTTTATCGTTATCTTTAAATTCGAAAGGTTGCGATGTGTCCAATTCGGTACTTTGGACGAAAGTTTTCAAAACCATCACTTAGCAGGTACTCGCGTTACCGTAAAGCTCGCTTTGCGAGCAGGCCCTTCGGGCCAGCTCGTCGAGCTCGCTATTAAAAGTGAAATAAATGTAAAACTTAAAACGTTTGCGACATTAAAATAGCGTACTTGATTTGATTGTTTTGCACGTGCTGTTTGGCGCTACATTGTGACGTCACGTAAACAATACTTTAAACGTCTGTACAGCGTTAACGACTGAATAAAAGATATTGGTGTTCGGATTCATTTTCTTAGTTAGACCATTTTCTTTTATTCTAGATAGTTTTCACAACAAAATTCGACAAAAAATTGTTTTTATTTATCAGATTTTTCAAACAAAATGGCGCCTTCAAATTTCATTTTACATTTTCCGTTTTAAAACGGTCATTCGATATTTTATACACAGTTTCCGTTGTTCCGGTTCCCTCTCCAATCATATAGACGTACGCGGGGGACCAGTCTACACATCCGTTTTCAGTCAGAATTCCTCAGTTTTTATCGTTATCTTTAAATTCGAAAAGTTGCGATGTGTCCAATTCGTTACTTCGGACGAAAGTTTTCAAAACCATCACTCAGCAGGTACTCGCGTTACCGTAAAGCTCGCTTTGCGAGCAGGCCCTTCGGGCCAGCTCGTCGAGCTCGCTATAAATACGGGATTCATAATTATCGAGTGGTATTAAATAAATGCATTCTGGTTTGAAACTGTTTGATTTACAAAATAGAACAAGTTCAAAGGCCAGCTGCCTAAAATATTAAGTGAACTTAATTGGCAAACTCTAGAGCAGCTCTAGGCGCAAAATCAGCTCTGTTACTTTACTTTTCAAAATCCAACACAATCTTGTGAGGGTCGACCATCAACATCTGACACCCACTAGAAACCTGCATGAGCAGTATAATGTACATAGATGTACATGCAGTTCATGAGTGATGGTAGCCTAAATTTTCTGTTTATTATATACTTTTTTTCTTTCTTTTCTATCGACCTCGAAAGAACCCCAGCTTAATTTTGTGCATAGTACTAGTCCAGCAAGATACCAGCGAAAATACGTAAAATATGTTTCACTGCAGTGAAAAATAAAACTTTTACCGTGAAAATATGGAAAATGAAAATATGCATTTTATTTCAACAATATGTCTCAATATGTCATTTATAAGTACAGAATAAATGAATAAATAGATGAATAAATAAACAAATATATAGAGGATATTTGTTTGTTTTGCATGTAAGATTAAAATATAATTTCACTGAGTGAACACCAGATGCAATATTTTCACGAGTGGCGTAGCCACGAGTGAAAATATAATAGCTGGTGTTCACGAATGAAATATATTTCAATCTTATATGTAAAACAAATAAATTTTCTGTTTATTTCATGCTTTTTAAGTGATTTTAAGTTTTTTTTACTGATTTTGCCGCGTAACGTCACGCATTCTCCTTTGTGACGTCATCATACCATGACGTCACATCATCAATTTTGAAATACAGTTCTGTTAAATTTCTCTAATTTTGTTACATTTTTAACATGATTTATGGTGAGTTCGACTTACTTTTCCTAAAGAAGCAAAATTTACGTACGACGGCATTTATTTTTGCCTGTTATTCCATTTAGTTATGATTTTCTTTTCATCCGCATTCAGATATAGTCCGGCTACAGTGAAAATTATATTTTATAAATTTCACTAGTGGTTTATCAGAATATAATCATCTGATATATTACAATAAAACACTGGAAAGCATGAAATAAACATATGGCGTCACAAAACAATACATAAGTACAGCACTGTACTAGTTACGATGACAGCTCTGACAGTCATGCAGGCTTAATAAACGATTTCTAAATAAAGTTCTATCACAAAACAAATTTTATGCATGCTGTTCTTCATTTATATGAGCTTAAATTATCATACTGTCTGTGTATATGATCACAGGAAATAGCTATATAAAGTAATTAATGTATGTATGTATATGTGATATCAAAAGATGGTCTTTATGACGGTTATTATGTTCTCAGAAAATTGTTATAATTATATGAACTCAATCTGTTTAAATGAACTCAGCTGATATAACCTAAGAAAATGCCAATTCATTTAATGTTTATATGAGATCACAGAATGGTCATAATTAATATAATCTACAAACGTATGTCACACAGAAAATAATCCTTTATATTCTTCTTTACATGTAGTGCTGTAGAAGCTTAATAAAGCGAAACATGTAATATAATCGATAAACTGATATTTTGAATCTTTTTATCACACGTGATATTTTGAATCTTTTTATCACACGTGATCTTAGAAAATAGTTAAAACGTGTGGTTCTATGAACCCAGAAAATGTTTAAATGTATGGTTATATGAATTCAAAAATTGTTACAATATAGGTATATACGTATAACCAGAAAACAAAAGCTACAAATAAAAAAAGACAAAGTTAAAGCTTATATATTTTATTATTTTGCAACGATGTGGATACAAGGCTGCTTTGATCAGCATGGTTGTAACTCTTCTCTTCTCTTTTGCTCGAACTGGAAGCATGATATTTTTGTAAAAGTAACAGTCGTAGTTGCAGTATAAAAAGTGTTTATGTCAGAAACAACTATTTCCCGCCTGACAACAAACATGTCTAATGCTTCTTTAAGTTGCTGATGAAAGTTTTCAAGATTTGTTGATGTGAACTCCCCACGCGGTATTTTTTCCAAGTTTAATTTCTTTTTGTTTCGGACATTCAAAAACTTAAACTTTTTTAGCTCTCCGATAACCATCTCTTCCTCTTCGTCTTGTTTCACTAAAAAATACAAATTAATCCAATAAACTTCACACAATACAAATCACTGCGCTTCTTTGGTTTTTATTCTAAAGTTTCTTCTATTACTTTTCCCTCAATCTTGTTCTTTGTTGTTATATGACGTAAATGAAAATACCATTCATGAATGTGAAATTAAATTGTTTTATGTATTATTGCTCTGTATACTCATTACTTTGTAAACAGTTTTGAGTAATGACAATGACAAAGAGTTTATTGATTCAAGGCCTCTAGCCCAAAACAACATATACATAGCAATACAATTACATACAATGGAATAGTACATTATATCATTATGTTTAAACAAAATCTTGTTACTATATCTAGTGGTGTTAATCATATTTATTCATGCTCTAATACATAATAACTTTTTCTTTCTTCAAAGGCATGGAACACAAACTTATCTATAATATTTTCAGCCAAATAAAGGCATGTTCTGTTCTGATTAGTTTTAATATCAGAACAGAACAGAACAGAACATACTCTTTATTCTCTCAGGTTGTCACAAAATCAATTATATTTTATCTATTTTTAAATATAATATCTTATAAACCTGTTTCTAGGGATAGACAGTTACAATACTGACCAGTGTAAATAGTTTTCTTCATACCTGAGTGAACACTTACCTGTATTAGTTAGTTGGCCAATGTGTTAAAAATGTACTGTTATCTATAGTTCATATAGGTTTACACTCAGTCAGTTTTGCTCAGTTTTATGAAGAATTATGATGTTAGAGCTTGGCAGAATTCATTATTTAAATTTAATGAAAATGGTGTTCATTTTATAAAGCCATTTTAATGACAAGCTTTATTTAACAGTGACTGTCTACCTAGATATCAGGGTAAGTGAAATATTTAATTATTTGCAAATTGTAAATGTTTTTCATTGATTTCCTTTGTACATGGAAAATTATTTGATAAAAGTAAAGTTGTTATATTGAATAAGTTGAATAAGTTTAATTGTAAATATGGGTTTATTTTCATATACTTTTCTTTCATACATTTGTATTACTACTCAAATTTAATGTGTGTAAAATATTTAGTAAGAAAATGTCTTAATTGATAGGTCATGGTGTTGAAGGACGTATCAATGTCAAAAGCATGCATGGTGCTATGGTTTATTAGCGTGAAGTACCAGCAACTGAATACCACACAGTATTTTGTATTATGCTGAGAGTGGATCAACATTAATTGTATCGTCTACGCAGAATCGTAACCTTTTATTTTGCTGTTCTACATTGACCTTTGTTGGTCGGAGGTGACATTTTGTTATTACAATAATTGACCTTTATAGGTCGGAGGTAACATTTATTATTATGACCTTACATGGTCGGTGTGATTGACTTTCAAAGTTAGTGTGAATATTGACCTTTTTAAGGTCGGAGCAGTTGATAACTTCGTGTGGCATTTTATATATTATTTTGGACGGCAAAATAAACTGTTAAGTGGAAACAACGATATTAGAGACAATTTATGTGTTTTTGATATATTCTTCTAAGAATATTCTCCAGTGACAATACTAAAATTCTTTTAACTATTTAAGTGAACTTAGGATTTCATAACTATCAAACAAGTACTTTAATATTTGATAAAATTATATAATTTTTGTAAATGTACTGAATTCAATTGTATAAATAAATGTGTATGTAAATGTAAAAGGTCTTTTTTGTAAAATAGTTATTTTGATGTTAGTTCTACCCACTCTGGTCATCTCTGACTTGTGACATTTGGTGTCAGAAGTGGGATAAGTAGTTCTCCATGAAAGTAACTATTAATAAAAAAAAAATATTGTGTTTTATTTTAGAAATTATGGTCATTCTTTTCAGGTATTGGTTGTAATCTATGAACAAAGGAAGTGATTGGAGTTGTGTTATTTTACAGTCGGACCCTGATGTCTAGAGTTCAGTCACTGTTCTGTGTGTAGTAAGTACAGGTACTAATAAAGGTAGGAGGTTAGAATTCTGCCAGGTTCATCTAGTTTTGAAAATTGGTTTTACACTTCACCTAGATTTAAATTGTGTTGATAAGTGGAACAGGTATATACATGTTATAAATACTTGTGGTTTCTGTGTGGCTGTACAAATCTATGAAATGGTATTTTATGATATATTTTCAATGAGCGAAACATTAGCAAAGGGATATCTTATTTCTTATTGACAATTAGTCAATGTATATATTGTATATATGTTATAGTGTTTTTATAATCATGGAATCTTTAAAAGCAATAACAGAATTAGGTCGACAGATGGGGTATGATGGGGAGGAGCTTAGAGCATTTGTGAAGGATCAACAAGACAGACAGCGAGAGGAAAGGAAAGAGAAACGTGATATCGTTCAAAGGGAACAACAGGTAGAGCGTGAAAGACAAGAGTATGAAGTGAAGATGGCTCAGATTAAGTATGAGACTGATAAAGTATCTCAAGAGGTAGACATGAAGGTATCAGACAGACACAAAAGCAGTGTACATTTCGATGAGAAAGTAGAACAAAGTAAGTCAAGATCAAGATCACCTACACCAGATTGTAAGGATGTTAAGGTTTGTAATGCTTTTATGCCGTTTACTGATAGTGTTTCTTATACTTCACCAGGATCTAGCACAACATTAAGTTCAGCTTGTGATGTATCAACATCGCCTATTTCAATGCCAACTTCTCATGGAATCATAGGTAATGAAATTGTGACTGTTTTAAGAGATACTGGCTGTAGTGGTGTTGTCGTACGAAGGAGTTGCATCCAGAAAAACCAAATTACTGATAGGAAACAGGTTTGTGTTTTAGCTGATGGTACAAAGATAGAGGTGCCGATTGCATGTATATATATAGACACGCCATATTTTTCAGGTGAAGTAGAAGCGTGGTGTATGGAAAATCCAATTTATGACTTGATAATTGGTAATATTTCAAGTGCTCGAAATCCTGAATCTCCAGACCCAAATTGGAAACTTCAAGTAAGTGCTGTTCAGACAAGAAAGCAATCACGTGAAAAGGGTAATGTTGAGTATCGGAAGATGTTAGTTCCTGATGTTGTAAAGGATAGTGTGAGTCCTGATGATATACAAAGAGAGCAGCAAATTGATTCTTCTTTAGCTAAGATAAAGCGGCTCATTTTAGAAGGGAAACAAAATGGTAACACATACTTTTACATGAAAGGGTCATTAATATTTAGAAAGTTTCAGTCACCAAGTGTGGAAAAAGGTAAGGTGTTTAATCAATTAGTTGTGCCTGAAAAGTTCCGTAATACAGTTATGAGGTTGGCGCATGAATCAGTTTTGTCCGGCCATTTGGCAACAAGAAGAACTCTTGCAAAGGTTTTGTCTGAATTTTACTGGCCTGGAGTGTCATCTGATGTGAAACGGTTTTGTCAGTCATGCGATATATGTCAGCGCACAGTATCAAAAGGTAAAGTTGTCAGAGCTCCTCTTGGACAAATGCCTTTAATAGATGTCCCATTTAAACGGGTGGCAATAGATTTGGTTGGCCCTTTACAACCACGTTCAGATAAAGGTAACAGATATATTTTAACCTTGATTGATTACGCCACGAGATATGCAGAGGCTGCTGCATTGCCGTCAATTGAAACAGAGCGTGTTGCAGAAGCTTTGTTAGACATGTTTTGCAGAATAGGTGTACCAGAAGAGATTCTTTCTGACATGGGAACACAGTTTACATCGGACATGATGAAAGAAGTAAGTAGACTTTTATCTTTCAGGCAGTTGACAACAACACCATATCACCCAATCTGTAATGGATTGTGTGAGAAAATGAACGGGACAATCAAGATGATGTTGAGAAGATTATGTGCTGAACGTCCGAAGGACTGGGATAAGTACCTTAACCCCTTGTTGTTTGCATATCGGGATTCTCCTCAGGAGAGTTTGGGTTTCACACCGTTTGAATTAATATACGGTAGATCAGTCCGTGGTCCTATGACTATTCTCAAAGAGTTATGGACAAAAGATATTCCTGATTCTGAGGTAAAGACTACATATCAGTACGTATTAGATCTTCAGCAAAGGCTAGAAGAAACATGTAAATTAGCACAGAAAAACTTGGCAGTTTCATCTCATAGGTACAGACAGATATATAACAAAAGGTCAAGGGTGAAAAATTTGAAATCTGGTGAAAAAGTATTGGTGTTGTTACCAACAGATAACAACAAATTATTGATGCAATGGAAAGGTCCGTATACTATTGTAGAGAAGGTAGGTACTTTAGATTATAAAGTGCAAGTTCATGATAAAGTAAAAATCTTCCATGCAAATATGTTAAAGAAGTACTATGTTCGTTCTAGTGTCAGTGTTAAAGATGTCGCTACTGTAAATGTAGCAGTTGTAGATGAAAACTGTGACTCAGAAATCGATCCTGATGTAGATGGATATTTTGAAATAGATACTCCATCGTTGGTGCCTACTGAATCATTTAAAGATTGTAAAATATCTCATAACCTTAATCCTGAGCAGGTAAATGAGTTGAATGAAATTCTAAAAGAATATTCTGATGTTTTGTCTGACAAACCAGGTTTTACAAATCTAGCAAAGCATGACATCAAATTGACCACTGATGAACCAATAAGAGCCAAAGCATACCCAGTACCTTTTGCTACAAGGCAGACTGTCATTGAAGAGGTGAAACGAATGCTTCAGTTAGGAGTTATAGAACCATCTGAAAGTGAGTATTGTAGTAATGTTGTGATTGTTAAAAAACGTGATAACACAAATAGGTTTTGTATAGATTTTCGTCCTCTAAACCGTGTTACTGTATTTGATTGCGAGCCGATTCCGAACCCAGAAGAAATCTTTGTTAAGCTGTCAAAATCAAAATACATTTCCAGACTTGACTTAACCAAAGGGTATTGGCAATTACCTCTCACAGATTCTGCGAAGGCTTGTACAGCTTTCCGTACTCCAATTGGATTGTTTCAGTTTAGAACTATGCCGTTCGGATTAGTTTGTGCTAGTGCAAGTTTTAGTAGGCTGATGCGCAAACTTCTAGATGGAATATCAGAAGTAGAAAATTTCATTGATGACATTTTCCTGTACACTGAGACTTTTTCTCATCATTTACAAGTGTTGAAAGACTTGTTAGAGAGATTAAGACAAGCTAATTTGACGGTGAAACCAAGTAAGTGTTGTTTTGGTTATCAAAGTACAGAATGTCTTGGTCATATTATTGGGAAAGGTTGTTTGGAACCGTTACCTGATAAGCTTGAAGCTATAAGAGATGCCAAGATACCAACTACAAAGAAACAGGTTCGATCATTTTTGGGTTTAGTTGGTTTTTATATGAGATTTGTTCCTAACTTTGCTACAATTGCTTCTCCGCTTACAGATCTCACCAAAAAAGGGCAACCGAACAGAATCATATGGGGAGAGTCACAACAAAAGGCGTTTGAGTCTTTGAAAAGGGCTCTATGTTCATTTCCAATTTTAAAATTGCCTGATCTTGATGCTATGTTTATTTTGCAGACAGACAGTAGTGATATTGGTATAGGAGCAATTTTGTTACAGGAAGAAATATGGTATTAAGAAACCATTAGCCTATGCCAGTAGGAAGCTTAAGAAAGCAGAACTTAATTATGCAACAATTGAGAAAGAATGTTTGGCCCTTGTCTGGGGTGTTTTAAAGTTTCAAAAGTATCTCTATGGTAAAGAGTTTCTGCTCGAAACTGATCATCGTCCGTTAGTTTATTTGAGGAGTAGTAAAGTGACCAACACCAAAATTAATGCGTTGGGCTTTACTGTTACAGCCATACAGATTCCGTATTGTAGCTATAAGGGGTAAAGATAATGTGGGTGCTGATTGTTTGTCACGTCTTTAGAAAGTATATACGTACTGTGTTAAGTATTTTTGATTTTGTGTTTTGAACAGTGTGAACACTGCTTAACAAGGGGGATATGTCACAAAATCAATTATATTTTATCTATTTTTAAATATAATATCTTATAAACCTGTTTCTAGGGATAGACAGTTACAATACTGACCAGTGTAAATAGTTTTCTTCATACCTGAGTGAACACTTACCTGTATTAGTTAGTTGGCCAATGTGTTAAAAATGTACTGTTATCTATAGTTCATATAGGTTTACACTCAGTCAGTTTTGCTCAGTTTTATGAAGAATTATGATGTTAGAGCTTGGCAGAATTCATTATTTAAATTTAATGAAAATGGTGTTCATTTTATAAAGCCATTCTAATGACAAGCTTTATTTAACAGTGACTGTCTACCTAGATATCAGGGTAAGTGAAATATTTAATTATTTGCAAATTGTAAATGTTTTCATTGATTTCCTTTGTACATGGAAAATTATTTGATAAAAGTAAAGTTGTTATATTGAATAAGTTGAATAAGTTTAATTGTAAATATGGGTTTATTTCATATACTTTTCTTTCATACATTTGTATTACTACTCAAATTTAATGTGTGTAAAATATTTAGTAAGAAAATGTCTTCATTGATAGGTCATGGTGTTGAAGGACGTGTCAATGTCAAAAGCATGCATGGTGCTATGGTTTATTAGCGTGAAGTACCAGCAACTGAATACCACACAGTATTTTGTATTATGCTGAGAGTGGATCAACATTAATTGTATCGTCTACGCAGAATCGTAACCTTTTATTTTGCTGTTCTACATTGACCTTTGTTGGTCGGAGGTGACATTTTGTTATTACAATAATTGACCTTTATAGGTCGGAGGTAACATTTATTATTATGACCTTACATGGTCGGTGTGATTGACTTTCAAAATTAGTGTGAATATTGACCTTTTTAAGGTCGGAGCAGTTGATAACTTCGTGTGGCATTTTATATAGTGTTTTGGACGGCAAAATAAATTGTTAAGTGGAAACAACGATATTAGAGACAATTTATGTGTTTTGATATATTTTTCTAAGAATATTCTCCAGTGACAATACTTAAATTCTTTTAACTACTTAAGTGAACTTAGAATTTCATAACTATCAAACAAGTACTTTAATATTTGATAAAATTATGTAATTTTAGTAAATGTATTGAATTTTATTGTATAAATAAATGTGTATATAAATGTAAAAGGTCTTTTTTGTAAAATAGTTATTTTGATGATAGAACTACCCACTCTGGCCATCTCTGACTTGTGACACAGGTACATAAGTACAGTATGAGGAAAATAATAATAAAACACAGATTTAAGTTTGACAAAGGTGTATAAGTAATACATTGGGGGAGACCGTAATAAAGTTTGAAAGTAGAACATAATCCGTATAGGTAGATACTGTATAAAAACAAACAAAAATATGTGAACTGTAATGTAAGATTATGCCTATATTCTAATAATTACTTAAATTTGGCCATTAAGGTTTTACAAAAAATAGACAAATGCTTTAATTTGTCAGGTGATTTCATATTCAACAAACTATTAAAACAACTGTCAGTGTTTGAAACTGCTAAATTTAACTTATTGGTAAGAATTGACCGTTGATATATAAAGGAAGGGCAGCTTAATAAATAATGTTTTTCGGTGCCTAAATCGTCTAGGTCACAAAGTGTGCACTTTCTGTCATTGTATACTGTTCCGTTCCACCTGCCGGTTTCAACAGGAAATTTATGATTAGAAGACCGAAATGTAAACAAATTTAATGCGTCACTATGCGGCAATAAGTTAAAATATGATTCAAATTCTAATGTGGATTTAAATGAATTATATATTTTGCCTTTATTAGAAGATTGCAAATTCCCGTACCATTGTTGCTTGTACTGATCTATTAACGTGAGTTTTACCAATGCACGTGTATTTAACGGTATATTTGTATAAAATTGATTTAACCACAGGTATGAACGGCCAGCTAAATCAAGTATTCTCTTAACGTACGAGGTCCATTTAAAAGTTGCGGTTTGACGATTTACCATATATGTATAAAGTTTAAACGATAACTTGTTATCGTATTTTATTAGTTTTTTTATATTATTTTTATCACTCTATTTCAAATAACACTTTTTAGTATGATTAAGACAAAAATGTGGTTTGTTGAAATGGGCAAAGACTTTTTTGCTGCAAACGCACATTAAATTATCATGACCTATACAAATTAAGAACACCAAAAGTTTACCTTGTTGATTATTCCTGCCAAACGTTTTCATCTTCGTTATCCCCTTATTACTTTCTTTATTGTCAGGACTTTTTTTCAACGAATAACACATATTCTGCATGTTATAATATTTAGCAAGAGCTCCGATGATTCCCGCTTTCTTTTTCGCTTTACCGCGTCGTTTCTTTCTAATGCGTTCAATGCTGTATTTCATGTTAAGTTTATTAGTATCAAAATTTTCCTCCTCTAAACTTTCTGCACTCAATGACTCATTTGAGTCTGTATCTAAAGATTCCATGTCGCCATCGGACACAATCTGTATCATCTTTGGAAATAGTTTACCATTTATCGATGCATGAGAATGACCAGCAACGAAAGCTTTTGTTTGTCTCCTACAGTTTATGAAGTGATTTTTGCATGGTTCAGAGCCTGTAACTCCCAAAACTTCTAGTCCACGTTTATTCATACTTTTTATAGAGCGTGATTCCTTTATATCAGGTAGTTTAAGAGAGTTGTCTGTAGATCGACACGAGTCACGCAAAGCTGGTAAGCGAACAGGGCGTCCTTTGCTCTTATCCTCATTCAAATCTTTCATTTTACTTGACATTGAACAAACTGATTTGCGTGAACCACGGCGACTTGCATTAGTTTTTCTTAATTCGTCAGTGTTACACACCTTGGATGGCCTGTACATCTCCTTAGCCATGTAGTACCTGTCAGCAATTTTCTTACTCTTTTGACGGCCTTTATTTCTGTATCTTGGATCGTAGTATTCGTCACATTTAAGAATTTGAACAAATTCTTCAAGTGTAGGTACTTCATCAGGCATTTTTATCGTTTCATTGAACATTCTGTATGGCTCTAGATTTTCCATATCTATTTTTGGTAGTTCAGGGAGCTTGAGAACATTCCTACCTTTTGCTTCTATCTTTTTACGACATTCAGCTTCTTTGCGCCGGGCTTGCAGTTCCATCTTCTTTTTCTCAAGAATCAGTTTGGCACTTTTAATATACTTATTGCATTCTCCTTTATGGTCCGAAAGATAAAACTCTTCACCGAAGAATTCATCCTTTGTTTCTTTTTGCTGGTTCTCTTCTTCTATTACACCACTTTTTTCTGATATACAATCGTCATCAAAGTTGATGGAATATATTTTACATTTGAAGTCCTGATTGTCAAAGCTATTCGAATTCGCCTTTCCTTGCCTCTTCTGATCCAAATACTTAGAGGTCAATTGTGCTCTTTCCGATACAGATTTGGGTACCGCAAGAGGATGTCGTCTGTTTGATGGAAAGTATGACCTGTCTATGACAGAGTGTTGTCTGCTTTCAGACGACGGCGATGTACCGGGTATAGAATTTTGAAGACGAAAAGGCTGGGGATCAACTGACTTGTGAGAATAATGTTTGCTTTGTTGAATTGGAGGCAGGACTTGGTATGGTTGATGCTTATTATTAGGAGCCATTGCTTTCAAGAAACTCATCGCTTTCACATGTTTGTTTATCATAGACTTACAGATGCCCGTTTTGGTTTTATGCGACTCGTTAGGTGGAACTAAACGTGTTGTATTTTCCCTCTTTTGGTTTATGTCAATTCCTGAAATAGTGATTCATAAAAATGTTTTATGATTTATAAAAGCCGGTATTTTTTAAAGACATCAATATCAATACATGTATGAAAATTTTACATGTCATAAGTGGGGCAAGTGGTAGTTCAAAACTTACGAATGCTTAATAGCTAACACTTGATATTTATTATGTATGATTTATCATTAATACAGCCTTGCAATCATCCTTGTGGAAAATACCTCTAATATATGTAGATTTACAAAATCTGGTAATTACAGCCATATAAAAACAAGAGGAACCAAAGAGCTCAAGGTAGATCTTCTGAGAATGAAGACAGGGATTTTATGGTTTAACTCATCTCAAAATAAATCGAATTTGTTTGAAGCTTATTTGAGCCACGTCACGACAAAACCAACATAATGGGTTTGCGCACAGCATGGATCCAGACCAGCCTGCGCAAACCCATTATGTTGGTTTTGTCGTGACGTGGCTTATTTCAATATCAGCAGTGGTGGTTATCTTATTAAGAAGGACAAAACGATATCAATTATTTTTTGTATAGGGCCAACAAAGGATAATCCTTGTAAAATTGATCAAATTTTGCAATGACCACATGGATATTTACATCTGGCAGCCATCTTAATTGTTCAATGGACCGAAATGAATATAGCTCTGTTATTTATTTATTTTATTTTATTGATTGAAATATCAGTAGACTGTAAAGATTTTTGCCGCTAAGTTTTTGCACAAGACTATCGTACCAAGGTACCATACGTGTAATGTTTCAGTTGTTTAGGAGAAATTATCGTTTAAAGCAACAACAATATTTGTGTTATAGATGAGCTAAAACATACCTTTTCCCTGGCAGTTGGCTGGTTCTTCGGTCTTTTCTAAGAGTCTTGGAAGCGTTTGTGTGTCAGATGTGTTTTCCTCTGTGTTTAGATCAGTTTTCAGGTATTCAAATGCATCCAGTGTCTTCTTATTCGGTGTTTCCTTTATCAAGCGTCCAAAATGTGCAAATTCAATTAACAGCGTTTCTTCTATATTGCCCGCATACTGTAGAAGAAAAATGCAAAGTGAATAGTGGCATATTTACTTTCATCAAAAGGGATTGTTTATACAATAACAATTTAACATTGTCCATATTTCTACGATAGTTTGTTGGGGTCCTTGTCAACCATTTTGTTCTTTGTGCACATCAACAACATAGCGTTTTAGTAGAAATCCCGAGTTTATTAATTTGGTTACAGATATTTATCAAATCTGCTTTTTGGATTGTATACTTGTTGAATTATATGCTTCAAAAAAGTTTTTTCGTTGCAATTTACTTTCAATTAATTAAACTGTTTTGTTAGGGTTTTTATCCTTAGCCTGTTGAATTTATTAAGCGAACTTGACCAGACTGTCCATTATATCAATATATGAATCATGAAAGATATGAAGATATGAAAATATAAAGTTAGACAACCTCGTCAGACTACACTATATACTAAGTTACTTTCGGTCCTACACAATGTAATTATGTCTCAACAATCATTTAGAAAGGTCAAAAGTTTAATCATGTTTAAATAATATATAATGTTAATGATGTGTCGTAAAGGTTGCAAAATGTATAGAAAGCAGTATTTTAAATTTAAAGTGACTCTATGTCGAGGTGAGAGCACAGGTAAAAGTAAAGTAAAAAAACAACAACAACAAAAACATTTTGTAATAATTGTTTTTAATTTTGTATTCTACTTCAGAAAAAACAATTACCCGCGTGACTTACGGAAAACTTTAAAGATATATTTCAGAACATATCTCTTAAGTTTAACTAGCTGATAAAAAGATGCGACAGTCTTTATCTTTATGCAAATTTGCGTGATTATTTCCTCAACATTTGTATTTTATTATTTTTTTTGGTAAATAATAATTTTGATGGTCAATCTTTTGAGATACATAACTAATGATGCTCATGCAACATGTAACAAAAAATGAATTTAATGTCACTTTGACTTCCATACCAAATACTAAATCACCAATTGCAAATGAGCAATAGAAGAAACTGTTTTATAACTGCAACAAAGAATAAAAAAAATAAAACAGATAAATATTAAAGCATTTTTTAATGGGCGTATAAAAACAAGCATTAGCCAAATAGTACTTTACAAATTTTCAATTACAATTATTGAATGTCCATCAAATTAACCAAAACAAATACTTGTCTGTCAGATTCTATATTCATTTTTATTGTATTTAATTTATGTATACGCCTCCAGATTCATGTTAGTTTTCATCAAATATTTTGGAAATGTATTTAAAAGTAAAATAATGTGAGGTAAACAAATAAAGTAATGTGCATATTGCAATCGGCACTTACAATCAACGAAAAGTACCAAAAAGTGTTCAGCATATGCAAAACAGCCCTCACTTTCGTTTATTTTTTGTATATATCGTAATTGTTATCAATTTCATATACATATTGCCAACTACATGTATAACTACAGACAACATACATACCCTTTCATCATGCAGTTTGTAACACCCGGATCTTGGGCGTCGGTTCTTAGCAAGAGCATGTGTGGTGTGTCGGACCGCCTCCTCTTCATTTTCTAAACGATAAAGTCCGAGGAGAATCTCATCAAGGAGCTGACCTTCTAGAATCCGGAGGGAACAGCCCTTGTCCCATGCAGTGGAAAAAAGGTAAGGGAAAAAGACATCTGAAATCACAGAATAAAAGAATCATATTCGGGCTAAAGACTTTCCACTTTTCAATTGTAACCCGCCCCCTAATTCCGCGGCAGAGCGGGGACTTTGACTTTCGAATGTTTAAACCATTGGTAAAGTCCTCGCCCTCCACGATAAAAGTCCGGGCGCATTATTTAGAACATTTGCATTTTTAGTAAAATAACAAATATTATTTGATAAATGACCGTCTACCAATGTTTAAAACATCAATTTGCAACGTATAACATGAGCTTTATAAAATAGTCTGTTGTTATCTTTAAAATAAATAAAATGTTACGCATGCTAGCTCGTGAGGTTTTCAGGAACCCCTCCCCTTCATGTACATATATGTATATAAAGGGTTTGTTAATACCGCCGGGATCCGTCAATTTCCATTCTTTCACAACAGTTATTTATTAAAACCTTTATATTCAAAATTAATAAAAACAACGTTTAATACTAGATATAAAATGTATATATATATAAATTATCAATGAGTGCAAAGCAACCAGCTTAATCATTTTCATGCACACTCAGTTTATAATATAGTGTATAATATCCATCACTGGTCAATTAATTAAGATATATTTATATATCTGATAAAGTAATACAAATTGAGTTTCTTAAATTAATTAATTTGAAAAGAACTTGCCAAGAGATATTTCCTTTGTGTCTACAGGCTTCTCACTATGAACGCTCTCACATAAAACCAGAGACTCGAGTGGTTGAATATATTTGCTTTCTCCTGGTAGAAAATTCTCGAGGTCTATATCTTCATCTGTCTTCTCCAAGAAAGGATTCAGGTTAAACCAGGGCCGTTTGATATGTCTCTGGTTTAGAAAGTATCTGGCCTTAGAAAACAACACATCATGTTTCTCTGAGGGGACCTTTGGTTTAAGTGTCAGATTTTCACCTGACACCGCCCTCCGCATATTCCGTTTGTTCAGGCCTATATGTGTTCTCTATTCTACATAGTAATTAATTTCCTGTAACAAATTTAATAATGTACAATTTAAGTATGATGGTACTGTTGCTAAAGTGGTAGCAACGTTATGATATCATCAAAACATGCGGTGCGCATATTACATGCGCAGACGGTACTATTGTTGACGTGTGACGTGGGCATTTGTTGGGTTTAACGTCAGGAAACATAGTTACCGCGTCGCATAAAGTAAAATGTAACACTCAAAAATACAAATGCCAGATTTACACGAAATATAAGCTGCTTAATGGCAGTGGCTGTGGATATATCTGGAAGTAATTATCTTAGCTACTCTCCGCTCAATGATAAACATAATATTTTATACAGCGGCGCTCGAAACAGCTTCAACCAGCGTTACAAGCAAAAGCCATGGTTTCGTTTGAATCCGTGCACAGATAAAGGAGTCAGAAAAGGGGAGAATATAGACCGATATGATCCCGAAAATGACACTGAATTATCACTGTTGCAATCTTTAGTCATTGTCGAAGATTATTTCAGCGACGCGCCACAGCTGATCAAAGAATTCAACATCAGTAAGTGATATTCTTAATTTTCTTTTACAGATAGTTAGTTAGCCAGTTGAGGTAGTGATCTTTAATTACCAAACTTACGGACTAATGTGCTTTCAGTCAATGCTACGGAACTTAAATTGTTCCTTTAGATTGGCTATTCAATTACTATATAAAAGTGATCCGTAGTTTTGCAGATGGTTTCCTATATCACCTATGGATCTCTCAAGCACATAATTATGAAGCTCGACTGGAATTTCCTTTATTTTGAGCCCGAACAAAAATGGGTAAATATAGAGGAAAGCCAGGAGGGTAGAATCACATTTCTATTTTCTTAAAAAAAGCTTTGAATTTTATATAAATGTTTAAAATTTTGAAAACTTGCCCTGTCATGGGGATGGAACCCAATATGAATCTCAAAATTGAGCATCGGTAAAAGATATATGTGAATTTCCGCTGCTCAACATGTGCAGTATACACAGTATAATCTGGAGAAGCGGAAATTCACATATATTTTTTACCGATGCTCAATTTTGAGATCCACATCGGGTTCAATCCCCGTGTAAAAGACAGGTGTAGTAGTGGTGCGACAATACTAGGTCATATTTTATTTCCACGACGCAACTATATATAATGCGATGTCTATTTTTTTATTTTTTATTTATTTTTTTATTTTTTTATTTATTTAAGCAACAACATAGGTCACAGTTACATAATAAGACATATATATATAATAATAAATAAAACATATTTAGTTAATGACTGAGATCAGATGAGGCATTGGATAAATGTATTTAAAAAAAACAACAACAAAAACATTAAATAAATAAATTAATAAAATCACATTTCAGATTAATACTACAACAGTCAGAATTATAATTATCACAGAATATTGTTTAAAGTTACTAATAAACATGATATAAAAGAAATAAAAGAATTTCAATAGAATTTCAATACAAAGGTTTAGTTTAATAGTGATCTATGGTTACAAGGATAGCCCATTAAGCTGGTGTGCTTATTTCCAATGGGGTCCTGTTAACCAAATAGATGGAAACAAGATGAAACCAGAGAGACATTCATTCCTCAAATAAAAATAGACAATGAGATAACCTTCAAATTATTCAATCACAGTAGTTTTGCATTATCACAGAAAGAAAGGCACAGGAAAAAATAAGATAACTAAAAAATAATAAAGTTTGGTGAACTTAGTACTTAGTAATATAAAAAGTCACTTTGATGTTGCGCAGCCCATATTGAAGCAAGATGGCTTTTAACAGAATTTTTATATAAAGTAGGATTTGATATACATTTTACATCATCTGGCAAACTATTCCAATCTTTAATACCATTATAGAAAAAGGTGCTATTACATGTCTTATTACAAAGAGGAATTGAAAAATTAAACTTATTTGATCTAGTGTTGTAGTTGTGTATATCAGACATCCGAACAAAATTTGTTTTCATATAAGTTGGACACTTATTATAAAAAAAATCTTATGCATATGATTAAGTCTTAATTGTTTAACTCTGTTTTCAATATTTAACATGTTAATCTGTAAAATCAGAAGGAGTTAAACTAGTTCTTGGATGCTAATTTTTTATAAACCTTATGACTTTGTTTTGAGCTACTTGCAGTTTCTAGTTCAAAATGACATTGGATTAAAGCAGAACAAAGCAATTTTCTACAGTTAAATGATAGACATTTACTGTTTCTGTACAAAAATTTAAGTTAAGTGTTTACTTTAGATATGACTGTATTAACAATTTCTTCTCCAGACAGAAAATTTTCAATTTTCAAACCAAGATATTTGACTGTCTTAGTAGATTCAATAGTGTGACCATTACAAATAATATTAAAATTATTAATCCGTCTAATCCGTAGCATCATTGTCTGCATTGCAAATTGGCTTCGAAACATTTTTACATTTTTACATATATATGAACCTTTATTTTGCTCTATTTCAGGTGAATTTTGGGATTTCTTGTTCTCTGATAGTTGGTCAAGCGGCCATTATGTGCGGGTATTTGAAGGTCAGCTCCTGGACATGATATTTTCGTGTCTCATGTCATTGACGCACTCTTATAAAGTTGTTCAACACGAAACCAAAGCTTTCGCAAAAAACAAACGACTAAAATATTCCACGATGAAACAAGAAAAAAAGGTAGATATATTAATTTCAGCCAATTTAGCCGATTTTCACTGTAAACATATATTTCATCCCCCCCCCCATTAACTTAGAAAAAAGACATATAGGTTGCTGCTAAATGAGATTGCGACGACCAGAGTAACGGCTCTGGGTTGTATTTTTTGTTGTTGTTGTTTTTTTTTCTCGTTCTTTTTTTAAACTTTAAATTGGAAAATAATGAAATAATGTTTGGGATGATAAAATTATATTTCCACACAAAAATTGATATAATCTTTCAGACAGAAGCGGATCAAATACTTTGTACAGAGACGTTGCTTCTCAAGTTTATATATTACGGTCACGTGGTTAAACCAACCTTTTTCGACCAAGAGAGTTCACTTGGGTATCCCGACATGACAACAACGGCAACAAACAGTTCCTGGCACCATGAGGCAATCGCCAAAGACAGTAAAGTTTATGGTATGGCATTTTCATAATAACGTTTATTACGTAAAAACGGTATTGCACGGCCGTGCATATATATGTTTTGACATGACGTCATTACTTACACGGATTTTATAGCGAGCTCGAAGAGCTGCTCCCAAAGCGAGCTTTGCGGTAACGCGAGTACCTGCTAGATAGTGATGGTTTTGAAACTGAATTGGCACATCGCAACTTTTCGAATTACAAGATTAAGTTGTATCATAGTTTGGGGACCTTTCTGTTGAAAAAGTGTCAGAGTTAAATCGTATACATATACATGCACAGTGCGGTAACTGGAGTGCAGGTATCAGTTACCCGCACTCCAGATCATGCCCGTTGATTGGCTCATTTTTGCTGGGGTTTACATATTGTGACGGCAGAGAAAGGGAAAGCGGCAGAAATATCATATTCAGATGCTCGATCATTGGTTACTTTTTCCCGGGGTTTACAATTGTGACAACAGGGAACGTGTTTTTATGTTTGACTATGATACAAAAGAGAAAGAACACCAAAACACTCGGCAATCTGATTTATACTCGGGGCTACGCCCCCTCGTACAAATCAGATAGCCTCGTGTTTCGGTGCTCTTTCTATTACATAGAACCGAGGTATTCTGATTGAAAACGGAAGCGTAGACTTGTGTCCTGCGCGCTTATATGAGATCCATAATTGGACAAACGGAAGCAGTGTGTAAATTTTAAAACGGAAAATGTAAAATAAAAATGAACGATTAATTTATACTATTTCACATTAAAAGTAAATCGAGCTCGCTTTGAGGCTTTGCCTTTTTTCATATTATTCTATTTATCACATACCAATAATAAAGACCGTTTAGAGTAAAATCAAGAGCCGGTTGAACCGGGTGATGCTCCCCGACTAGGTTTTGGTCACAGAAAAGTATATCTTTTGTAGTTTCAGAGTTATGTCCCAGATAAAGTTTAATGAGTGATAATTCCAAGGCAGAGTTACTGTTCTTTGCACTGCACTTCTACTCAATGAGATCTAAATAGTTGTAAATCCGACTTCAAATAACAAAGTTGTGGGCCGGACAAGATTTTGCTGCAAGGTCATGCTGTGACCTTGACCTTCAAGGTAGCGACCCAAATGTTGCGCGCGACACGTCGTCTCAATATGGTGATCATATCTGTGAAATAGTTGTAAAATCTGCCTTCAAAAAACAAAGTTACGGGTCGGAAACGATTTTGCTGCAAGGTCATGCTGTGACCTTGACCTTCAAGGTAGCGACCCAAAAGTTGCGCCCGACACATTGTCTCAATATGGTGATCATTTCCGTTAAATAGTTAAAATCCGACTTCAAATAACGATATGGTGATCATTTCTGTAAAATAGTTGTATAATCCGACTGCAAATAACGAAGTTATTGGCCGGACACAATTTTGCTGCAAGGGCATGCTGTGACCTTGACCTTTAAGGTAGCGACCAAAATGTGGCGCGCGACACGTCGTCTCAATATGGTCATCATATCTGTGAAATAGTTGTAAAATCTGCCTTCAAAAAACAAAGTTACGGGCCGGAAACGATTTTGCTGCAAGGTCATGCTGTGACCTTGACCTTCAAGGTAGCGACCTAAAAGTTGCGCCCGACACATTGTCTCAATATGGTGATCATTTCTGTTAAATTGTTTAAAAATCCGACTTCAAATAACGAAGTGATGGACCGGACACGATTTTGCTTCAAGGTCATGCTGTGACCTTGACCTTCGAGGTAGCGACCCAAATTTTACGCGCGACACGTCGTCTCAATATGGTGATCATTTCTGTGAAAAAGTTTAAAAATCCGACTTCAAATATAGAAGTTATTGGCCGGACACGATTTTGCTTCAAAATCATACTGTGACCTTGACCTTCAAGGTAGCGACCCAAATGTTGCGTGCGACACGTCGTCTCAATATGGTGATCATTTCTGTGAAATAGTTTAAAAATCCGACTTCAAATATAGAAGTTATGAGCCGGACACGAATTTCGGGACGTACGTCCGGACGGACGGACTGACTGACGGACGGACAACCCGACGACTATATGCTCCCCCGAAATTTTTCGGTGAGCATAATAAACCATTTTTCATTCACGCGCCTATAGTATAACGCTAACATTTAGCGCGTCTTAATGCTATTTTAACGCTATGTTTATATTACGCAAATGACGTCACGTCAAGATATATGCACGCCGTGCATAACCATTATTACGGAGCCGCAAAAGCGGCACGTATATGCTAAATTTTATTGTTTTTTGGATATATAAATAATATAATATTATTTCCGTGTAGTTTTTTGTTTTCACTAAATTTATTGAACTTGCACGAATTTAAAATTCTATTTATCACATACGCAAATAAACCGTTAAAAGTGAAAAAAAAGAGTTATTTTTCATGGTCGCGCATATAGTATAAAGCACCTCTTTACACTATATTTGTATAACGCAAATGACGTCACGGCCGTGCAATACCATTTTTACGGAGTCGCAAAATCGGCACGCGTATTTAGTATTGAGCCCACACTCATGCAATATCCTCTATATATCCCGAATGCTATAATTTCATTGAAATTGTTCAAAAAATTAAGTATTGAACAATATCAGATTTTAATGTACATTTAGCTAGAATTTGATATCTGTGTTGCTGTATCTCCATTTCACCGGATGGTTTTGGAAAAAGTTGGGCCTCTGCTCTATGCTAAGCAGTTGCTTAAATTGAAATATAATAAAAAACACTTTAGAGATTTCACGAATATAATGAAGTGACAAAACCATGCATGAGTCACAAGGTTTCTTTTATTTGTGCCAAAATTGTAATATATAGAGAATATTCCAGTTTTTTTTTCTATAAAAACAAGATTTATTTTCATCGAGTGGTATGATAATAAATATTTCATGAGTGGCGGTAGCCACGAGTGAAGCATAATCATTTCATACCACAAGATGACAATAAATCATGTTTTCGCAGAAAAAAAACTTGAATTTTATGTGTATTATAAACATTTTTCTCTTCTTTTTTGATATTAGAATTTGATAGACCTTCCTTTAAATATTGTGTACTGGCAGAAATAAGAAGAAAGAAGTCCAGCAAGACACCAGTGAAAATGCGGAAATTATGTTCCACTGCAATGGAAAATATTTTTTAAAGTGAAATACGGAAAATGAAAATACGCATTTTATTTCATCAATATTTCTCAATATTTCATTCATAAGTATGTAATTAAGTATATAATATAATAAATCTTTATAGCAAACATTTCAGTTGAGCTGCGTTTTTTTTTTCTTGTTCTTTTAATTTATCATAAGTGTACCATTAACTGGTACTCAGCATTACTCTTCCTCTAACTTAATGTTTAAGAATGAACATTTATATTTATGTTTAAGGTGAAACAAGTTCAACCATTTGTGTAAGGACGTCTGATTTAAAGTCGCCTTCTCCTCCACCAATAAAGGTAAACAGTATTAATCATCATCCAAGGAAGGCGCGAGTTAGGGCGTCGAGTAAAACATTTTTTCGATTAGAAAATGAAAGAGTATCGATGTCAAGATTTACATCCCAAAATGACAGTTTTTTACCAAATCTTCAAATACAACGTGGCAGTAACTACCGTTACACGTGCAGCAACTTTAGTAACGCAAGTGACGATTACAAGAGTTTACCTCCAAAAGTTGATCTAAATCATTTCATCTGCACCGAGAAAGTTTCGTATTTAGGAGAGTCAGCGGTGTACCTTGGAGAGTTCCAATTGCCACCAGAAGACTCAACAGAGGATGACAATGACGATAATGATGATGACACAGATAATGACGATGACAACGATGACGATGACAAAGATAATGACGATTACAACGATAATGACGATGACAACGATAATGACGATTACAACGATGATGACAATGACGACGATGAGAACTTTGGACAGTATTTTTACTTGGGTAAGATTAAGTTTCTGTCATTGATTAAATAAGTAAACTCATGCCAAGTATATAAATAAATAAACTCATGCTAAGTATAAATTTGTCGCAGACGCATTTTAGACTGGTATCTATGTACAAGACGTAGTGCATGGGCTGACACTTCTAACCGTCTACTGAGTTTCAAATTACAAAATTTAATAAACTTTTTAGTGACAGTAAAATTCTTTAATAATCAATAAATTAAAATTTTAAAAAAGACTGTACATATTATTAAAGTAGATAAAGCAATATCTTTGCTGCAAAAAAATATTGTTTGATTTTTTTAAAAAGGGATATTACAAAAATGTATGAAATAAAATTTAATGTGGTAGTAGGTTGCCTTAAAATCAAATGGCGCTTGCACGAAATCAAAGCGTAACCATACAAAATATTCTGTTCCGGAACATTTTATTCTATATAAAAAACAATATCCTTTTACTATTGATAAAGTTTATGAAAATATTTCATAAGATAAAAATATATTATTAAAGTATGCTAAATTTATAACTGCGAATAAACAATACTTACAATAGTCAGCATATGGTAAAACTAAAACGGGTAAGTTGTACCTTAAATTATGGTCGTATGGCAATAGTACATATAGTATCATTCACCACATGCTATCAGATTTTATATGATCACCTTATTTTTGTGATTAAAGGTGGTGCCGATAAACCAGTCAAAGGGGACGTACCCGAGTCAGCAATGGTGAAATTAAGAAAAAGAAAAGAAATTGTTCAGCAAAATCGTAACAAAAAGAAACAACTCATTGCTCAACGAAAGCAAAGTGGTCTCATTGCTCAACGAAAGCAAAGTGGTGACAAAATAATGCCTGAGTTCTCTGAACTTGACGTCAAGAAGTACGTGAAAGATCATGAAGTACCACAAATAATAGCAGTACCAAAGAATGAGACAGTTCCAACACTTGAGGAATATGCTGAAAATTTAGAGGCTGACTTAAAACGCGAAGCAAGACTCAAAGATAAAGCGATGGCAAGCAGGACTGCAAAGAAAAGTGCCATTAATTTCGGTAAATTTGGAATAGCGTTTTCATTTACTGGTCTTAAGGCTGGTACAGATGTGAAAAGTTTAAATAATAAAACTTCCGCACAAAGAATGATTATGATTGAGACACTGATGAAGGCAAGGAAGAAAAAACAGAAGGTACCTGAAAGAACAAATAAAATTGTAGTTCCACTTGTTTATATATCAACGCCGTCGGGGCTTACCTTTCTACATCCAGTAAGTACACCATTGCTGAAGAAAAAGAATGTAGAGGAACGACATCTAGCATACATAGGACAGACAGGACCTAAATTTCCAAAAATTAAACTGGTTCCTTCGAACGAAATGGAATCTCCAGACGAACAAGATTCAGAAGAAGACGCTGAAGATATCGATGAAGGTGAGTTCAATTCAAAAAAACTGAACATTAAATACAGCACAGAGAGAATGAGGAAAGTGAAAGCAGCAATAAGGGCAGAGGAAAGGAGAAATAAGAGTCACATATATGATTTATTGAAAAAATATTGCCGCATGCAATCTGTCTTTAAAGCATTTAGTGGGCCACAAAAGAAACGGCACAAATCATCTGTTGCTGGTCTACCTTTCGGCACCAGTATAAAGAAGAAAAAGAAGAAAACGCCCAAAAGTTCTGAAAATATTGAACCAGAATGTAATGCGTTTGTGAATGTCGGAAAACTGAAAAAGTTTGCATTTCTAGAGGCAAATGAGAAAGCAAAAACTCCGTCAAGTGAACAGTTGAAATCTCTGTTTAATAATTATCCAATGGATCTTTTTTGTGAAAATTTAGAGAGAGCTTTAAAAGATTTCGTGGTACGAAGAGAAATTGTCATCTCTGACTACAATGGCAAGACCTTGGTTTCTTTGACTTTTACTAAAAAATCAGTATTTACCTCTAGTAAGTATTCAGTGCATCAATAAAAGTTTTTAAAGTTATATCAATTTTAAATTGATTGTGAAAATCAACTATAAAAAAATTTAAAATAAAATCTATCATTTTGTTATTATTATGGTACATATGAGTTTATTAAATCATGTGTTGCGATTAACAAAAACAAATTTAAAAAAATGTCTCACGGATGACATTATACTGAAAATTTTACAGTAGACAGATCGTTATGGCGATTTGAACTAACAGTATCCCCTACCGCTACCCCCTCCCTCACAGTCCCTGTAACAACCCCTTAAAATATGATTTAAAGTCAATTTCCACATTTAAAAGCAGTAGGGGATATATCAGATCAAAGCGTCTTATCCAGCCCGGCTGTGCTACATAACATGTGGAAGAAGCATGAAACTGATCTGTAAGGTAAGATTGTGTGAAGAAATTAAGCTAACTTTCGCGGCCAATATTAAATACAAGAGCAATCGCCAAGAGAGGATAACATTCGACTTTTTTAAGTCATACACATCGGAGGAGGAACAGAGTAGTAAACAGAATAATCAAAAATTCTTGAACAATATATAATTCAAATTTCATATTTGACCATGACAGTCAATGTCAATCAAAAGTCTATGTCACATTTGCAAAGAAATCATCATCTCAGTTTTGTCATAAGTGTTCGTTCATCCAAAAATGAATTAAATCAATAAATAAATAACAAAGCGAAGTTCACTTATTTGGCCTTGACGGTTAAGTTCAATTAAAGGTCAATGTCATATTACAATAATTCAACATGTCGTATTTGTCATAGGTATTATTTTGTCCAAGTATAATCAAATTTGTAAATAAATAACAGTTATTACAGCATTTTTATAGTTTGATCTTGACATCTTCAACATGTTCTTAATTTGTCTAAGTATAAATCATTTTTAAAATAAATAAAGTTATGGAAATTAAAATCAATTTCAATAGTTTGACATTGGCAGTCAATGTCTAATAAAGGTCAAGGTCATATTTGAATTATTCAACCATAATGGTTCTTTTGTTTTGCTATAAAGAAAACCATTAATAAATATTGAAGTAATAGCCAATTATAGCAGATATCAAGCAACATTTAACTTCACCTTGAAAGCCAAGTTCATTTGTGAGTGAAGGTCAATTTCAGTATGGTGACAATTTCAACGTTTGTTTAAAGGGTTGTAGTGCACAAGTATAGAAGCAATCCACTGAGAAATTTAAAAACAACTATGACCAAAGTAAAGGTTTTCGGACAACAACATGACTGTTCAGTAGCAATTAATATATATCGCTCCTTTTTTCTTCAGAAAAAGTCGAGCTTAAAAATTCGTCAGAATAACGTTATGCCCATCAAAGTGTAAATTGTGAGTCCACATGTGAAAGTAAAAAAAAGAGAGAAAGACCAGGTAAAAGTAAACAATGCAGTCTGAATGACAGCTTAATCCCCTTCCGCAATGAACATGAATGTGTACTTCTTGACCTTTTACCAGCCACGACCTTGATGTTATGCCATGAATATCATAAGCACATAGGCTCATGATGGTGATTATTTGTGCCATGTAATTTAAAATTTTCCACATAGTAAACAAAGTTATGGAGTACATATAACCTTGACCTTGGGGGTAGCATCCTGGATGTTGAACTCTGCAGTCTGTGTCATGGTGGTGATCCGTTGAGCCAAGTTATTTTAAAACCTTAGAATTGTCAATAACTGGACATGAAAAATAGATGTTTTTTTACATTGGACCTTCAAGTGTGACCCAGACCTTCAGGGTTGTGACTTGATTATTGTGCTCTGCCAATGGTGTCATAATGGTGATCATTTCTACCAAGTTATCTTAAAAACATTGCAGCGGTTTAAATGTTATGGACGGACACGAAATGTAGACTTTCTAACATTTGACCTTTAAGTGTGACATTGACCTTGGGGGATAGCAACCAAATTATTGCGCTCTACATATTGTCTCATAATGGTGATCACTTGTGCCAAGCTATTTAAAAAGCAACAGATGTTTAAAAGTTATGGAGGGGACACGAAATGTAGACTTTTATACATTTGACCTTAAAGTGTGATCTTGACCTTGGGGTGGCAACCCAATTACTGCGCTCTGCACAATCATGTTCTTATAATGATGATCAATTGCGCCAAGTTATTTTTTAAAAACTATAAAAAAATACATACCATACTTAACATGGAAGCAACTTCTGTCAATAAGAATAACATCTTTACACTGTCTTATGTTTCTGCATTGTAAGTATACAAACTGGGATTTATGTTGAGGAGACGCTATAAGCACTCACATTTTGTTTTATAAATCCAAGTATTTGAATCAAAACAGTAGCCACTAAAGTGTTAACATTTTTCTATTTTAAGCTCCTGTGACCTAGTTTTTCATCCGAGATGACTGGGTGTTCAAACTCATTCTAGACAAGCATCCTGACCAAGTTTAATGATGATTGAGGCAAAAAGTGACCAATAGTGTTAACAAGGTTTTTTCCATATTTGGGCAGTGTGACCTAGTTTTTGAACCAAACGGACCCATATTCAAACTTGACCTAGAAATCATCGAAACATACTTCCAGACCAATTTCCAACATATTTGGATCAAATAGTAGCCACTATTGATAACAAGATTTTTCTATTTTTAGCTAATGTGACCTAGTTTTTCATTAGAGATGACCCATGTTTAAACTCATCCAAGCAATTACCTAGACAAAAATCCTGACAAAGTTTGATGATGATCTAGGCAAAAATGTGACCACTAAATTAACGAACAAATGTGAACGATGATGGAGAGTTCAGGTGAGTTAAATAGAGAAAATTTAAAAAATTTGACCTTCAAGGTCAAGGTCATTTGTCAGTGATTGTCCAGATCTGTCTGCTTTATTTGTTGGCATATCCTAAAAGATTGCTGTGTTCAAGTTTGAAGAAAATCCATTCAAAAATAACTAAGTTTTATCAACTAATAGCCAAAATCAAGCATGTTTAGAAACTTGACCTTCAAGGTCAAGGTCTTTTATGAATGAAAGTCAAGTTAAGTCTGGTCAACTTATAGGTGTTGTTGTGGCCAAGTATTAGGATAATAAAACACTAACTTTAGAAGTTATGATCAACGTTAAGTTGCATGGACTTGACAATACCTCTATTTTAAATCTTCGGAAAAAAGTCAAGCTAAGAATAAATTCAGTCTTATGAACCTGATCACTGGATTATTGCTTATGATGCATTGACTCATGAGGTGAACATTTGTTAAGTTTAAAGTTATACTCAAGATAGAAATTCAGATTGACTAACAAATGTCCAGTTTTTGAAGAAATATACAAGAAAATGAAAATAGCGAAATAAGACTTTGTACATTTTATTTACACTTCAAATAGCAGACTGCACTTTATTTACAATAACATAATGACTGTGTAATGAGGACGATTCAATATGAATGTGAATACTGTAATCACAGAGTTTATATTGTTTCCAAGGCAACAGTGTCAACTTGTTGAGCCAGTCACTTGCTGCATGTACCGGTCCCCCCAGAACTGCTCTAGATCAAATGGTTTGAACCCTGAAATGAAATATATCACAACTCAGTTTTATTACATGTACATATACCTAAAAATAATTGCATGCTTAAATATTTATACATTTTCTGACCTCGTTTTGAAATGGTGTAAGTAATCATAACATACTACACGTAATTAAAAGTTGATTTTTAATTTCATTTTGCAGAATAATTATCAATTAACTTATTAGGGAGTAAAACATCAATAAGTTAATTACATGTAATGAAGGAAGCTGTAATTATTTACATTAATATCTAAAAGCAGATTTAAACAAAAGTACAAACCATTTAGCATTGGATTTGGATTCTTTTCCCTGTATACAATTGGTCCACCTGAAAACATAGTCAAGTTCAGTTTGAGACAATAGTTATGTTACTAGCAATAATGAATTCAATTTTATTAATACATTTAATATACCTATCTAAGATTAAACTAGAAGTTTAACCAAGAGATAAAATAAAGCTACATGGTATGTTACACAAAATTACATTTTTGACAATTTGAAGGTTATATTAAATGTGAATGCACTGTGCCTTTACATGATCTGGGCTTTTGCACTTGACACATTATCTTGCAAAAAATAATATTCATTGAGCAATATTGTTTAAACAAATTTTCTATAAATTCCATACTTGCAATTCCTTACTGAATAACTTTTTAAACACTAAAACATTGTCACATTGAGTGGGGAGATCATGAAATTGCTACTTTTTTAGGCAGAATCAGTTTTAAATATATTAAAACTGTCCACAAGTATGGCATATATGGAAAATTTGTTTGTTTTACATGAATGATTAAATTATTCATTTCATTCATGTACAACACTACTTAAAATTTCAAATTGTAGCTAAGATACTCTGACTTTACATCAAATGTACACTCAATGAAATATATATCACAATCTTCCACTGAGACAAAAAAATACTCTCTATATTGTTTTATACAAAACTTATAGAAATGGATGTATTGTGGACCAAGAGATATTAATTTAGTTTAAGATTCGTACCTTCTCTTTGGTTCCGTTCAAGTTCATGATTTACTCGGTTCCATGCTGGAAAAAAACAACAACAATATTGATGTGATCATATATCAAATACCATTAAGTCCATTCTATTCACTAGAAAAATAACTGAAATAAAACTGACTCATATCTCTTGTATGCATGGGTATGTTTTTAATGAAAAATTAATTTATTCCAAAAGTCATATCTTATGGGTATATTAAATTTTTTTGATAACACATTTTCCTAAAAAAAAAACCAAAATATCATTTAATAAAGATTAAACGTGTAATTTTTTGCTTCTATTGTTACATTAAATATTTCATTAAAAATGCAATGTCATGTACGCAATTAAGTACATTTAAGGTAAATACTTACAATCAGATAATATTCTAACAAATTCCTCATGTTGTGCAGTATATTGTGGCTGCTGTGGGTTGCTATTCTGTCTCATAGGATTAGGATATGATCTATTCCTGTTTCCATTAAACACTGGCTTTGGGGAGCTGAAAATGTACAATGTACCCAATAATCAATAATTCACTTTCAATGAAAACAATTCCCTGTTATAAAAATTTACAAAAATACATGTATCACAAAAAGCTATATGCGTCAAAAGGAGTTAATTAGGACACAGATGCCCTCACCCCTATTCCACCTATTTTGTCAGTCCACAGAAGGGGGTCATATAGTTTTTATTTCTTTACTCATTTACTTGGCAAGATCAAGACCTAATGAAAATATTCCAACCTTAAAATGAATAAATATAGAATGACCAATTAATAGCTAAAGTGAATTTAAAGCATAATTTCCTCTTCCATTTATTACTGAAAACAGCTTAACTGTTTGAATATTCTACATCTACATTATATACTGCTTCAAAATCGTTATGATTACACTAAGCACACGCATTGTCTGGGAATAGCTGTTAAAAACAAATATGTTATGTGCAAATTTATAGACGTTTAGGGAAAAGCAAGTTAAAAAGAACTACAAGTTAAAAGCAAAGCTGGCTTAGAACTGGTAAAAAGGATGCAGCTGTCCAATAAAGACGTCTAAACTGGGACTAGCTTGGTAAGGACAGGGGTAGGCCATTCCACAAACAAATACTTCTGGGGAAAAATGAATAGGACTGGTTTTGTGTCTTTGAATATGGTATTAGGAAGTTCAGGTTTCTAGTGGGTGTCAGATGGTGCTAGTCGACCCTAACAAGATTGTGTTGGATTTTGTAGAGGAGGGTAACAGAGCTGATGTTGCTCCTCTATTTCAGGGTTTGCCAATTACGTTCACTTATCATTTTACATACACTACTGGTGTAATTGTAGTCGTTGTATACATATCTGGCAGCTGACCTTTGAACTTGTTTTATTTTTTAAACCAGATATTTTGCCAAGGATGCCAAACCGTGGAACGTTACTGAATTCTAACTGGGGCCTTACATTAGTTTTGTAGACAGTTTCTTTGACTCTTTTGTTTGAAGATTTGACATTTCTTTTAATAAATCTGAGTGAATTATTTGCTTTTGCTGTTATGTTATTTATGTGATTGGTCCAGGATAGATCTTTACTAACTGTTACGCCTAGTATTTGTGGGACTGTACTATTCTGTACTATAATTATGTATAGTATAGTATATTCAGATGTTAAATTAAATAGTTATGTTTATTTCAGAGCAATAAATTTCAATTTATGAAGGAATTATTAGCTCTAGCCCATTTATTATTCAAAATCACGAGTAGGTTTAAAATTAACATACAAGTGCCATGTGGGGATTATCTAGGTCAAACTTGTTTACAAACAGATCTTGAACGAAGTGCGGTTGCATAATACTCAATTTCAAATGATAAAAAATGGGTTTTTTAACTGATAACCATGTTTTTTTACACTCAAATTCATTTTGAACGATAAAAAATGTATACCTCATCCCCACTGTATCATGTGACAGCTGTTGTTTCTCTGTATCTCTCGAAATTTCAAGGTTGTTCAATGTCTTTGAAGGACCTACTGAGGAAAAAAACAATTTAATTAGCGTCTCTGAATCACGTGCTTTCTTTTCGTATAAAAACTATCAAATTGTGTTAAAAAACAACCGAGAAAATCTAAAATTAACATACCAATGCGCGCATTTGCAACAATTTTGTTGGGTCTACTCGGCAATGCATACATTCCCCGTCCCATTTGTGTGACTTCCGGTTATCAAACTAAAACTGACTGGTTCTTGTTTCTATACATTTATTTCAATTAGTTCGTAAACGGAAAAGAAGTACCAATTAAACAGTTTAAGATCTTAAATATACGTACATGGATTGATTTTAACGAAAATATAAAGAGATACTGAAACATTAAAGCTTTAATTAAGGTCATAAGCTAATTTTCTTGGACAAACCAATTTTTATTCGTCAAATGCGAAAAAATGTTTTTTAAATTATAACTTTATATTCTTTTTTAAGAACACGTTATTGCCAACAGCGCCGCTGGTGTAGTGGTATCATGCAAGATTCCCATTCTTGCGACCCGGGTTCGATTCCCGGGCGGCGCAAATTATTATTTTTTTTTAATTCCTGTTTATACTTTGTTCATATCAATTGCATCTACAAAATCCTAATGACGTATTAATAAGGAATTTAATTTTAGAAATATCCATTTCTTGAAAAATCGGAATACAAATGAGTGCAAGGAATAAAATTGTCCCACATTTTCTAAATTCTTAATTACAGTTTGAAATGTTTTGTATATAAATCATATGTTTTGGTTCATTTCATTATGTTCATCGCGATGGGAGATAGATAATTTTTGATAAATCTCTGGCAACATAATTATATAGATACTTGGTGGTAAAGCAAACAAACAAAGACAATCTCTTTTGGTCTCTTAATTGCTTCATGTATCTCCAAATATCTTAATTACAGGATGTATTGCTTGTGAAATCCAATGCACGGTAAATCTATCATGCCTTATTTCAATGATAACTATATTAAGTAATAGAAAGAGAATCGAAACACGAGGCTATCTGATTTATACGAGAGGCCCCCGAGTATAAATCAGATTGCCGAGTTTTTTGATGTTCTTTCTCTTTTGTATCATAGTCAAACATAAAACCACGTTCCTAGCTTAAGGTCTTCAGCGTACCCGTTTATATACTATGACATGACGTGATGCCGCATCAGATGAAAAACAAAAATGTTAAAAAGCGGCTTATAAAGTTTTGGAAGCCAGAACTACCACGTTCCCAGATACCACAATATGAAACCCCACAAAAAAGTAACCAAGAAGCAAGAAACAAGCATAATTCAATGAAAATTTTAACGAAATAGGACAGGCAATAAAATCGTTCGGCCATTGTACTCATTAAATTTAATTGGTTGTACTCGTTTTTAAAAAGATGCACAACTTCGTTATGCAACTTTACAAAGGATGGAAATTGTTCTTGACGGGCAAACTTCCAATTGTGCACAAGATGTCATTGTTAATTTTGCTCAAAATGCGTTTCTTTTACTGAAAACAAGGTATTATAGTACCTGTTCGGCCATTGAACTCATCACCCAAAACAACTTTTTCGACTTTCAGGCATAAACAGAGAGAGAGCTACAAAGTAACCGATGTTTGGGTCGTCAGACCAAACAAATAATGGTAGCGAAATTTCTGACCCTGATGCTGTTAATTGCAAATGCCGAAATTAGTCCGCTTTTTTTTAAGCGGTTACTTCCCTTTATATGTACACTAACGCCGAAAAGATTGTCAAATGACAGGCGCATTAATTTTCAAGCAAAATAGTTCACGAATGGTCGAAGATTTCTAATATTGTTTTATTCTTTATATATGTAGATTTTAACTACAAAAACGGCGGGGCCGCGGAGCGAAAATACGCTAATTAGTGGGGGCGCGGAGCGAAAAATTGAGTTTTTAAAGAATAATTTGGCGGGGGCGCGAACAACAGCACGCTAATTAGCGCCCTATAACAATAAATATTTCGCTTCGCGGCCCCGCGGTTTTACAATTAAATCTCGACTTTTCGCCCCGCGACCCCGCTAATTAGCGTGTTTTCGCTCCGCGCCCCCGCCATTTTAACTTGTTAATTCTCGACTTTTCGCTTGGCGGGATCGCGGGGCGAAAACGCGAAATGGCACAAATCAGCCACCATAATTAGCTGGTATTGGTTCATTTTATCTGGTGTTTCCATTTGAAACAAAAGTGAAAGGGCACAAGAGTACGGAATGCCGTTAGGGCCATTGCCTATGAATGTGTTGATCTGAAACGCGATAGTCGATAGTACGATGGTGAAAACGCGAAATCACGAAACTACGATGGTGAAAACGCGAAAGCACGATGATGAAAACGCGAAAGTACGATGATGAAAACGCGACAGTACGATACTACGATGATGAAAACTCGATAAACTATCGTGTTTTCACCATCGTACTGTCGCGTTATCACCATCGTAGTTTCGTGATTTCGCGTTTTCATCATCGTACTGTCGTGTTTTCATCATCGTACTATCGCGTTTTCACCATCGTACTATCGCGTTTTCATCATCGTACTGTCGTGTTTTCATCATCGTAGTATCGCGTTTTCACCATCGTACTGTCGTGTTTTCATCATCGTACTTTCGCGTTTTCATCATCGTACTATCGCGTTTTCATCATCGTACTATCGCGTTTTCACCATCGTAGTTTCGTGATTTCGTGTTTTCACCATCGTACTATCGACTATCGCGTTTCAGATTAACACATTCATAGGCGATGGCCCTAACGGCATTCCGGAATGCCGTTAGGGCCATCGCCAATGAATGGTTTGATCTGAAACGCGATACTCGACAGTGCGATGATGAAAACGCGAAATCACGAAACTACGATGGTGAAAACGCGACAGTGCGATGGTGAAAACACGATAGTTTATCGCGTTTTCATCATCGTAGTATCGTACTGTCGCGTTTTCATCATCGTACTATCGCGTTTTCATCATCGTGCTTTCGCGTTTTCACCATCGTAGTTTCGTGATTTCGCGTTTTCACCATCGTACTATCGACTATCGCGTTTTAGATCAACACATTCATAGGCGATGGCCCTAACGGCATTCCGTACAAGAGAGGGTAATTCATATAATATTATTTATTTATTTATTTTTACTGATTTCTGTTACAAAAAAAAAATGAAAATGCGATAAAAAGAGTTATAATATACATGTTTGAAACTCGTAAGTTACGGGGGTATAACAGTGGATGGGGCGACATCTCGGGAAGTTTCTGCAAAAACATCGTCTCGCCTGGGTGGGAGGAGGGGGGTGGGGGTCACTCGATGTCGCCTCAGCCACTGTTATACCCCGTAACCAACTCGTTTCAATTACTATAACTATTACACATCGCCTTTTCTTGTGGTAATTGGAGTTTCATATTATCCTTCGAAATTCTTAGTGGTTCGCTGTTCATTATGTGGAAAAACGTTCCAGTTGCTTCTTTTATAAATGATGAAAAAAATCATTTCGATCCCAAAAAATGAGCATTTGTAGCACAACGTCTAACTAGTATGTTTATATTTATGGACAATATGTTGTACGATATGCTGTCATACTGAGGAGGAAGCTGTAACACTGTTTTACACAATCAACAGTACAACATGGGTAAGGTCACATTGGACAAATGTTAAGAGGACCATCCAGTTGTTTCATGTAGATTTCATTCAAATAAACACTGTTGTTTTACATTATTAGTAACTGGTGACTGGTTGTTTTAGCAATGCTCCTGGTTAAGGTTTGATTTACTGATCGAGATTGTTTGAGAATTGAGACCTCATTTGTTTTAATTATTTATTACTTATAATAATCTGTGTTGTCATTATATTTATTACTATAAATCTATTGTGACTAGATTGTGTATCAGTCTGTGAGATTTTAGTATGTTACTCTAGCTGTCAAGGGTTACCTTCATAAATTTTTGACAAGAGACCTGCAATTGTTGTGTTAAGGTAACGCAATCATCGGTTACCATCATAAATATTCCAGAAATCAGTCTGTTTGATTCTGGTATGGTAACTCGGTCAACACAAGTCTTGTCGACATAAATATAGAATACTTACATTGTCAGTTTAATAAATAAAACTAGGGTAACATCCAGATATAGAGTGTTATGTATTCAACATATTACATGTATATAATTTATATCTGACCAGTTGGTATTTCCAATATTATCATTGTTCTATTTTTAGAACATAAACTACATGTATGTACTAGAAGGTTCTTAACCGTTGTAGAAAACTCATGCATTATATTTAGATAGAAACTTCTGGAATGATCTTTATTGTTGAAGTTGCTAGATTATGATTACTTGAGAACATAATAGACCTTTCTGGAAACTTCTTAGTTAATATAATATAAGGAGACATTTTTCATTAATCTTCTCTTTAAGTCATCAGTTACCTTTTAAGTCATCAGTGATCTTTTAGAAATCAATATATTTGGAGTATTATTCAACTTGGAAATTAAGTGATTTATTGGAGCTTGGATTATTAATTATTCTTGTGGATTTTATTGTGGGAATTTTATTCTAAAGTGTTCTTGGATTTAACTTGGATTTAACTGTGCTATTAAAAAAGGATCATTCTAGGATCAGACTAGACATTTGTAATTTTTATTTGGACTTCAGGTATTTGTAAAGTTATTTTTTTTTTTTTTTTTTTTAATAATTTTTCTGTAATAAATTTGTTTTGTTCACTTAAGTTTGCTTGCTGGCTTTTCTTTTCGTTACGCCTGGCTCGTAACAAGAGAGATAAGGTATTTTCTATAAATACTGGTGCAAAATCTTCTAAAGGCATTCCTAGAGTATTCAGCATTCAAGATTTAGGGTTCAGGATTCGAGATTTAGAATTGAACTTCCAAGCTTCACGTTATTTTTGGTTTATTAATCAATATATTCAGTGACTTATAAACTATGTGCGATGAAGGGGAAAACACAACTACATTTAAGTTCTGGCTTCCATAACTTTATACGTCGCTTTTACTACGACATTGCGAACAGTACTATAAAACCTGTTCGCTGAAGTCTCTTTAGCTAAGAACATTTACCAGAAACTTAAAAATATCGTGCATATCAATAAACAATGTTCGAACATTCAGAACGTTGTGCGTTTTGTTACATGAGGGATTTTTAATAATAATTATGAGTAAGAATCGTAACTATAATAGTTACAGCTACACTGAGTAAGAGAAATAAAAGAGCGAGTTGTTAATGGTTATTTATGTAATGATTATATTATTAAAGAAATTATCGTGAAAGGCGTAAATGAGGTGTCTATGTCAAATTAAGTGCTGTTGTTCTAGTGCTTTGTCCGTGTTAGTTCACTTCCAAGCTTGTCTTGTATCACATTTTGCTCCTCAAACAACTTTTTAAACAAGAGGACCATGATGGCCCCGAAATCGCTCACCTGTATATAGAAACTCTCCATGATAAGGAATAATAATAATAATAATAATATCTTTATTTAAAGAAGGTTACACATTAAGAACATACAATAACAATCATATATATCTTATTTCCAAAGTGGCCTTCTGAAAAAGAAAACAACAACAACAACAACAACAGGACATGCATAGGTAGAAAAATGAATGTATAATATGTAATTTTTAGAATAGTACAACTCATATACTTTCGACAGGCACTCAACAATTTTTGTTTAAACATATATGTATATTGCATCATTTGTTCGTTCGTTCATTCGTTCGTTCATATATTTATTCATTCATTCATTCACTCACTCATTCATTCATATGAACATCAAGATATGCTTTGTATTTTTCTTTAAAACATTTAAGGTTATTAACATTACGAATATTTAAAGGTATATTGTTCCATATGTTCATGCCATAATAAGAAAATGTGTCTTTAATATAATTTGTTTTAGGTCTTGTCCATAATACAATATCTTTCCGTGACCTAGATCTTAAGTTATATATTTTGTTGTCGGATAAAGTCATCAGTTCTGTCATATACGTCGGTGCCATGTTATTTAAAGTTTTAAAAACAAGCACCGCCGTGTGGTATTTACATCTGTCAAGGAACGGTAACCAATTAAGAGTTTCGAATAGATTTGTTGACGGAGATCTTTGAGGTTGCTGTAAAATGATTTTAGCAATTCGTTTTTGTAACTTACAAACATTATTTATGTAGTTTGTGTTTCCTTTACCCCATATAATACAACAATAGTCCATAATGGGCAATATATATGCATTGTAAAACAATAATTTCATATCAAAGTGCAAAAAATACGATATTTTTTTCAATAAGGCAATTTTTTCGTTAAGTTTTTTACAAACATTGTCAATTTGCAAGTGCCATTTTAAGTTGTTATCTATGCAAATACCCAAGACTTTTTGATCATATACATTTTCAAGAGCTATTTCATTTATCTTAAGAATTAATTTTCTCATAATATTTACTTTTTGTCTTGTTCCTATTACCATACATTTTGATTTATCTGGATTTAAGGCCATATTATTTATTTTGCACCATTTGTCAATGTTATTTAAATGATCTTGAAGTTTTATTTCTACTTTTGATATATTTTCTCCGGACTCATAAAGAGTAGAATCGTCTGCGTATAAATCAATTTTCATATCATTACCAATGAAAGCTATGTCATTTATGTATATTAGAAATAATAAAGGTCCTAATATTGAGCCTTGTGGAACACCGGAGATTATTTTCATTGTCTGAGATTGTAGATCACCTATCTTAACCAGTTGTATTCTGTTAGAGAGATTTGACATAAAAAAACTTAACGGCATTTTCAGAAAAATGATAAAGTTTAAGTTTATGCAAAAGTATTTCATGGTCAACCAAATCAAAGGCTTTCTTTAAGTCTAAAAATACAGTCCCTATAATTTTTCCACTGTCAACATCTTTTAACCAAGTATCTATTAAACTTATGTAAACTATAAACAAAAGGAAATATCAAATCTAAATCTTAAACTGATATTACAAAGTTCATATTTGTATCTGAAATAGTGCATGTGTAAAAACATTAGTTTTTAATATAAAGAAAATCAATTGTGACCCCAGGGCTTTTATTTGATCAACTTAATAAATGTTTCATGCTCTATATCTAAGCTCTAGCTCTTTGGTTTTTTTTAAAAGTTTTAACTATACACATGTAAGGAAAATCAATGACCCCCGGAGTAAGGGCCAATTATAAACCCAGGGCTTTTATTTGAACAAACTTATTAAACATCTATTAGAAGATGATTCGTGCTAAATATCTAAGCTCTAGCTCTTTGGGTTTCTTAAATTTTTTACAATACACATAATTAAAGGGAAAAAAATGACCCCCCCATTGGGGCCAATTTTGACTTTGAACAATCTTGATACACCTATTAGAAGGTGTTCCATGCTAAATATCTAAACTCTAGCTCTTTGGGTTTTTTTAAAAGAATATTTTTTAAGTTTTTACTATACACATACAGGGAAAAACAACTAGAACTATCGCTGAATTCGATTGATACCCCCACCAATGTCCTTGACAGGAGAAGAATTGGAAAGGTGGTTAAGGGAATAACTTTTGTGGCACAAATACATATACATAAAAAGAAATTATCTTTGGTGAAAAAAAGACTAATTGTACAGGTAATAGTACAAATATATATTGTCAAATCATGTTCGAAACAGTTACAAATAACCTTTCATTTTCCCAATGTACTAAACATTTTCTAAGTCAATTTTTGACCTTCAAGTGTGGCCTTGACCTTAAGCTGGCACAAGGGTAAGATGAGTTCTGCACATTGCCCAGTTGGGGTGAACATTTGAGTAAAGTTTGAAGAAAATCCTTCCATTAGTATAGAATTTATAGAGCGGACACAACATATTGTCTAGTATTGAGTGTATGTAAATTTAAAGACTTAAAAAGGGGCATAACTTTGTCAAAATGCAATACAGTTATGAAACTTGATCAGCATATCTTAATTGTGACATGTCAAATATATTTTAAGTTTCAAGCAAATACCTTTTCTAGTTTCAGAAATATTCAAATACATGTTAAAATTTAAGGATATTTTCTAAGTCAATTTTTGACCTTCAAGTGTGACCTTGACCTTAAGCCGGGAAAAGGGCAACATGGGTTCTGCACATCCCCTTTTTGAGGTGAACATTTGAGCCAAGATTGAAGAAAATCTTTCAATTAGTGTAGGACTTACAGTGCGGACACGACATACTGTCTCATATTTGATTGTTTGTTATTTGACCTTCAATTGTGACCTTGACTTTGAGCTGACACATGGGCAACATGGGTTCTGCACATCCCCTTGTTGAGGTGAACATTTGAGCCAAGTTTGAAGAAAATCTTTCAATTAGTGTAGGACTTACAGAGCAGACACGACATACTGTCTAATATTTGATTGTTTGACATTTGACCTTCAACTGTGACCTTGACCTTGAGCTGGCACATGGGCAACATGGGTTCTGCACATCCCCTTGTTAAAGTGAACATTTGAGCCAAGTTTGTAGAAAATCCTTCAATTGGTGTAGGATTTATAGAGCGGACACGAAAATGGAGACGGACCGACCGACTGACTGACCCACACGACAAAGCGAATCCATTATAGCCCCGCCACATGTTGTGGTGGGGGTATAATGACCCCCAGGGACGGGGCCAATTTTGACCCCAGGGCTTTTATTTGTACAAACTTGGTACACACTCAGAGTAGAAGATGTTTCAAGCTAAATATCTTTGCTCTAGCTCTTTGGGTTTTTAAAAAGATTTTTTAAGTTTTTATTATATACTTATAAGGAAAACAATGACACACTGGGGCGGGGCCAATTTTGAGCCCAGTGCTTTAATCTTGGTAGACTCTCACTAGGAGATGTTTCATGCCAAATATCTAAGCTCTAGCTCTTTGGGTTTTTTAGAAGAAGATCTTTTAAGTTTATCCTTTTGGTGTGCCATGGCAACCCAACTTCTCCATGGAATTAAATTCTTTGAGCTGACCACCAAATTAACATTCCTGTGAAGTTTGGATGAAATTGGTATGGTGATTTATGAGATGTTGTTTAAAGTTAAAGTTTATTGACAGACAAAATGCGATCAAAAAACCTCACCTTGTAATTGTGTGACAGGTGAGCTAATTACAGCGAAGTTTTGGATAATATTTTAGTTATTCAAAGCTGAAAACTTCCAGATATATCATATCTTCTATATTCTCATAGTATCCAGTTGATAAAGAATTCAAATTGATTCCGTTTCAAGCACTATCTAACAATGAACTCGTTTTGAAATGTAGCTAGTCTCTGTTGAATGATTTTTAGGTTTCCATTTCCATTGCCATGAAGTACATGTATGTAACAACTCTATATTCAGCAAGATATCTCCAACAGGTCTGCTTACTATAACAAATTTTTCTGTGAAATTGGACATAATTGGTAAGGTGGTGCAAGAGAAAAAGATAATAGCATAACAAAGGATTAAGTAACAGTAAGCTTACAATGTGTGTACTATGTACTCCGTGGACAAAGACAAATAAAAGCAATTTTTTCTGTACAAATTGTGCAAATGTTTTATTAGATGAGTGTAATTGTGGTGATTTAACCGACACATTTATAAATATAATACAATGTGAACAGCCTCAAAATTAAACTATGTTTTCATGCAAAGAAAATAATGTCACAGAATAATAATTATTCTTGTAATTACTAGTACATGTATGTATTACTAAAATGAAAGTCAATCATGGTAGAAGAAATCAGATTTTCTCTTCATATTTTTAAAACATTTTAAATATCCCCTACTAAATAAGTTAAAGATATTATTATAGAATGGTCAACATAATAACAAACTGTAAAGTTACAAATCAATATTACCATTATATTGTTATTGTATAGTTATTGTATATCAGGGACACAATGCAATATATTTTAACCGTTAATCAGCTATATTGTATATATTGTGAACTGGTAATGAACTTGTTCTTTTGAACTGTCTATTAATAATAATGATGTTTTTATTTGAGTTTTTTTAAACAACAAATTGCTAAATCTTTAGAAGCTTCTATAATATTGCGTGGTTATACTACACATATATGTAGACTGACTTGGCTCTATGTAGTTTGACTTCAAAGAGTTATGTTCAAGTTAAAATGAATGTGAACAGAAACAATTACAACATTAATGTTTGCCATATTTAACATGGGACAGTAATGCATGATATATGAGCCGCGTCACGACAAAACCAACATAATGAGTTTGCCACCAGCATGGATCCAGACCAGCCTGCGCATCTGCGTGAGTCCTACATTGTTTATTTATATTCCACTATGATTGAGTTCCATCATGATAATCAATTTAATCAACCAAGAATTGAAATCAAATTCCAGGAGAAAAAAAGAAGAGTATAATTAACAAGTTTCATAGGTTATGAGAAATTATTTATTTGTCTAACATAAACACTAAGACTATTTTCAAAGATATACATAAAGTAATTATATCATTTATATTGTCATCACTACTGCTGTATTATTAGTAAAGTTTCGAAAATAATTGGTTAATAAACCAATATACACAATCAAATGTTAATGACTAAGACTTAATTTAAACACAGAATGACTCTCCCTTTTCATGTCTAAATGAAACAACAATCATATCAAGTTTATCAATACCAGTGAAGAAGACATAACAAAACTTAGGTGAAATTTAATAAATGTATATAATTATTCTTATAAAACAATTTCCAAACATCAGAGAATATGTTAAATATGTTTATTCGCATTATAAGTAATCATTAAAATTTATGCATTCATTTCTTATTGAAAAATTTGGCTTAGACTTTATCGAAAATAAATTTCTAATTATCTCCCTTTATTTACATGAAATGTAAATTCGGTAATATCTTTACAAATAGTGCTTTACAATATTGATACATCACATTTATGATATAAAACCATAAAAGAATCTTTAACCTGCAGAATTTCCATAATGGACTTGACAAGCATTAAATTTAGAACAGTCCATTTAAATTTAAGGGGAATTTAATATCAAAATACAACTTTTTTTTAGCTGACAATAGTACAGAGTCTGACCAGACTACATGAACAGGCTTGCCTGGCATTGTACCAGTTGCAAAGGCTTACACATTTGCAGCAGGTTATTGGTTTAGATTGTAAAATGATATATAAATACACCATCACTAATTAGTAATAATTTGCTTCTCGACCAAAAAGCTCTGAAATGGTATATAAGTTTCACTAAGATTAATGAAACATGTTACTATAAATTTGTTTTGTTTCCTTATAATATATCTTTCATATATGGGAAATAAAATCAAAATTCTTCACCATTAACTTCCAGCTTACAAAAATACGATGAGTGCATATATATATCAACTTTCAAGTTTGATAAGTCTGCCTTGAAAGTCTAAAAATGATTTAAACAATTTTCAACTTAACCCAAAATATAAATACAAGACATTGTATTTTTGTATCTTTTTTTAAATATAACCTACGGAAATACAGACACTCCAATGTTTCCTAACAAAAAAAGTTACATAAAAAATGACAATAAGAATTAGTAAATACACTTTTCAGCAAACCTTGTATGAGTTGTCAGCAGTAAACTGAAAACAAATATAAAACTGGCAAAAATGTATCAAGGCCTAGATTCACCACACTTAACATGTAGGCCAGGAAAGATTCAACAGAAACATTTAAAGCTGCCAATGTAAAATTTACCGGTGTTTACAACAAGCAATACTTTTCAAACAATTTGAGTCAACCATATATGTAATACACACAAACAAACAAAATAGTTGCCATTTTTCCCAGAAATTTTGAGTTTGACCGTTTCATTAGAATAAGTTACGTACAATAACAAAAATAAACCATATCACTTTTGAATTTGTATAATGAACATGTTCTACTTTGAGAATAGAGAATTCCAGGAGTACTTAAGTGGATTTCAGCATTTAAATACTAAAAGAGAGCGACTCGATGTATCAAGTCTGGTAACACTGCTGATCTGGTTCTACATAGCTGACACTGGTTTGCCATTATCATCGTTGTGTTCAAAAGGTAGATAATGTGTTGACAGTTTTATAATCATAAGACAATACTTATCACTCATAATTCATTCAAATTCAGCACAACATCCTATTACAAAATTTATATTTTTAAAAGCAGAATGACTCTATTTTGCTTCTTTGGCTTTTTCATATTAAGCAGTAATACCATATCATTATAGTATTTATGTTTTAATTTGCTGAAAACATTGTTTATCTCAGTTTAACTTTATCTTGTTATGTCCATGTATTGGTTTATGTAATACAGTGTTAATTTAATGTAATATTCTTATTCTATATTGAAAATAGTAAGTTCAATTTATGCTCAAAGCTTAAAGATGACATGAAGTATTTAACGTAACATATTTTGACAGTAAACAAATTCTGAATATCATATAACATGTAAACAAGTAGTCACTAACAGCAACAAATATATACATACAAAAATATCTTCTTTTTTTAATGTTTCATTGTAAAAATAGCATACAACATCAATATCTTGGTACAAGATGTATATAACGAGGGCTGTTACGATCAATGTAATGATCTCAATGTATATTTATACAACAGCCATGTGTGCTTACAGTTCTTAAAGCTTCATGCCTCCAGATGAGTCAAACTATTTCAATAAAATCAAACTGGAGACGTGCTGCTTTAACCATACCAAATATTGACTTTACTGACCTGTTAAAAGCTATACCATTACTTACATACCAATTTCAAATATGTTTTTTGTTTGATTATTCATAAAGTGCTGTGTTTTTAGAAATAAGAATGGATCAATGAGAAAAATTAAGTACAACTTTCATTTCATGTCTATATAATAAGAAGAATGATAAATAGAAATGAGGTAAATGTGACTTAGTGTTACTATCTGCACCAACTATGTACCAGGTACACAACCCATTCACACTTTAATGTTCTCAATTAATACTCTAATATACTTTAGTTTGTACCTACTTTATTGTCCTGTAACTTGAAGAGATTATGTGTTACAGATTTATTTAGGATACAGCTAAAAAACTGCTTATTGCTTATGACTGGAAATAATTATAATGAAAATAACACTTTTTTGTGGAAATATATGGCCTAATCTCAGACATAATGGTAAACAAGAGCACCGCTAGGCGGGGCATTATATGCCCGAAAGTACTTTAGCTGTAGGTTGATTAATGCTTGAGTTATTGAGCGAAAACTGTTTCCAGTTTAAAGGTGATAGTAACCTTGATCTTTGACCTTGTGACCCCAAAATCAATAGGGGTCTTCTACCAAAAATGGACAATCATCCTATAAAGTTTGAAAACTGTGGGCCAAATGGAACTTAAGTTATGCTTCGGAAACCATTTTCAGTTTTATGGTAAAAGTGACCTTGACCTTTGACCTTGTGACCCCAAAATCAATAGGGATCTTCTACCCAATATGGGCAATCATCCTATGAAGTTTGAAAACTGTGGGCCAAATGGAACTTAAGTTATGCTCCGGAAACCACTTTCGTATAAAGCTAATAGTGACCTTGACCTTTGACCTTGTGACCCCAAAATCAAAAGGGGTCTTCTACCTTATATGGACAATCATCCTATGAAGTTTGAATACAGTGGGCCAAATGGAACTTAAGTTATGCTCCGGAAACCATTTTCAGTATTTAGCTAATAGTGACCTTGACCTTTGACCTTGTGACCCCAAAATCAATAGGGGTCTTCTACCCAAAATGGACAATCATCCTATGAAGTTTGAAAACTGTGGGCCAAATGGAACTTAAGTTATGCTTCGGAAACCATTTTCAGTTTTATGGTAATAGTGACCTTGACCTTTGACCTTGTGACCCCAAAATCAATAGGGATCTTCTACCCAATATGGGCAATCATCCTATGAAGTTTGAACACTGTGGGCCAAATGGAACTTAAGTTATGCTCCGGAAACCATTTTCAGTTTTATGGTAATAGTGACCTTGACCTTTGACCCCAAAATCAATAGGGGTCTTCTACCCAATATGGGCAATCATCCTATGAAGTTTGAATACTGTGGGCCAAATGGAACTTAAGTTATGCTCCAGAAACCAAATTGCTAACGGACGGAGGACGTACGGACGGCCACACGGACGCCAGGGGGTATAACATTATATGTCCGAAATTCTTTCGGGCATATAAAAAACATTAAGGCAATTTGTTAATAACAACTGAATCTATCTAAGTTTTACAAGTATATTCATATGGTTAGCTTGGTATAACTATTTATCTACTACCAGTATTTACTATATGTTTAACAGTTACATCATACCAGGTATGTCATGTTTTCATAAACGTCACCAAGGCAACAACGCTATAACAAGAATTTACCAGACATGTTCAGTATACCCATGCTTACAAAAGAACTATAATGACCAACTGGTAATGTCTAGAATCAAACTTCGGGCACATGCAGAATTAAAAGCTGTCAAAGTTTACTTTTAAATTCATAATCAACTTATCTGCTTATTCATTTGAATTGATTTCCAAGAACAGTGTCTATGTGATGCTATTTGACCACACACTTTTCTCAACACTCTAAACTCAATGATTATCCACCATGCTAACAGAAAAGGGTATGAAAATGTTTTAACACCCTGAGAATCCATGACAGGATAGTTTAAGGTGATGATAACATTTGAGCATGATATTACATCAAACTATGTCTGTAATTCATGTTTATCACTGTCTTACATTTTGAGAAAAAAAAGTGAATAAAGTATATTTCAAAATTTTGATGACAACATTAAAATTGAAATGTTTAAACCTTTGAGGAATCTTATGTCATTTAAAAAAGACTTGAAAACAATTTTGAAATGCCAGTTAAAAAAACAAAAACACTAACCCATATATATATATGGTTAACTTCCCTAATGTCAAGGCAGCATTGTAAATTTTAATTTAAATTTATAAACTTTATCAATACACAAACATTTCCTACGTACAATAATATTCTTTTATAACAAGAGTCATGAGTGTCTATAATATATCATCCACATTGCCTGGTAAAATCAATATTTCATATTATATTACATCTGATTCAATGCTAATACTTTTCAATTAACTTCCTATCATAGATCCAATTAAAGACATTATTGTTAGTTAGAGCTTTATATTGTTGGAAAAAAAACTTTTTAAATGATAAATAATATCAATGTAATCAAAATTTATGTAAGTTCAGACAAAAAGATATTCAATTATATCAAACAAATGCTATTTTTCAGACATGTCCTTTATTTTTCTAGATATAACACTAAATCATATGCTATAATTCAATCAATAGTCCCAGTTTAAACAACTTTCTAATTTGCATATCATTTGCGTACTTATTTTTCCATTTTAATTTCAAACAGTCAGTCAATATGAATATAGAAGAGCACTTCATGATCTGGGTGATAGTGTGGGGCTTGGACTTGATGTCCATGTCTCGTGCGTGACACCAGGAGCTAAATGAGTAATTTTCACGTGTACTGCCTGTTCCTTCTTTGGATTTAACGGCAACGGTAATATCTTGAATGTTACATCATCATTCTCTTTTGGTACAAATTCGCCTTCGATACTGAAAACAAACAAGTCTTTTGTCAGAACAAAAATGCAAAAATATTATTTCATTTAAGCACATAATAAAAACTACCTTTTTTTGTTAATTTGTGTGGTTTTTAAGCGTAAGATAGCCAAGCAAAATATACAAGGGTAACATGTAAAGTTTTTAAACAGAGCAAATATACATCTATTAAAGCTTAAACTACAAAATGCATTATAAAGAAGTAATAAATTTGAAAGAAATTGAAAGAAAGAATTTAAGATATTACAAGCACTTATTATGACAACCATGCAAGGTTACAGAGAGAATTGTTATCATCTTCAAATGTGTCCATAGGACACTTATGGCCTCACTTATTTTGCCTTTCACACTGGCATATTTACATACAAACACAAACATATTTCAAACATATAAAATCATATTGTGTCACTGTCCTTTACCTAATTACCTGAAAATCAATTTGGGTCATCTATTGACCATGGGCAATAACCACATCAATCTTTATAAAAACTTAAGCTTATTCCTTATGTTATTGATAAGACAAAAATTTTACAAAGTGTCTCTTAGACCTTAACTTGTCTTAACCATGACCTAATAACCTCAGTACCGGAAAAACATTTACTGGCTATGTGCAGTGTCCCTATCAAGTTACACAAACTACAGCTTATTTCTTCTAAAGTTATTGAACTGTCAAGGATTTGTCATTGTCACTGAGCCTTTGGGAAATGTCCCTTCAAAAACCATGGCTTATCCTTCTCAAGTTATTGATCAGACAAGATAGCAGGACCAGGCTGAGGAAATGCATATGTATGACAGATGTATCACCAATTACATAATGCTCCCCGCTTTTTACGAAAAAAAGTAATCCAAAATATTTTATTCCTTTTCAGTTTTGATATGATGATGCTATCATTAAGTTGAACTACATGAGACTTGTCTGAAAAATTGTTTTATATTATTTACGCAGAAAGATTAGATGTACTTTCCTATACATTGGTTTAAATAAAGTAAGCGGACCCTGTCCCCCCACATTCCCCACACCTGGGCAGGGCCCAATTTTAATTTCAGGTTGATGATAAATATAATTTTAGTACAAGACTACAAACTGATACTACATGCCTAACATTTAAGTTATTGGTTTGAACTAAAGAGTACATGGAGACAATTTTTAGCACAGTTTATCTTATTTTTAGCACAGTTTATCTTATAACTCTACATAACCTAACCCATGTTTCCATACCAGATATTTTTCTACTTAAAGGCAGTTTTTAAATAAATGGGCAAGATTTTCATGGTACCAAGTGAACAAACCTGCCCAGATTCTTGCTTTATATTCTTAACTTAATTATAATTAAACATAGTAAACATACTAGTTCTAGAATTGCATTGAACTTACTCTGATACATGTACAAATACTCTTTGATTTGTTTCAGTGTCAAGTATAAATCCATGACCTTTGTTTCTACAAAATTCTTTCACAATGCCATGGTGTACTTTTGGACTTTCCCGTAATTTCTCAACTGTCTTTGTCCTGAAATAGAAAATTCATGTATTAATCTTAAGACAAGAAATATCTTTGTTTCCTTCTCTCTATATTGATTGTTTCCAACAGGGATGGCAACATTACACAACTGATATAGAAAGCAATAACAATTCTCCTAATGGATCTCATTACTTATACAATAGTTGCAAATTAAAGAACCTGACAGAGCTGACCCCTGTAGAATTGAAATAAGCCAAGATCAAAATAGTACATTCCTGGAAACTTATTTGCACAAACTTAATTATCAAGTCTGGATTGATGTAAAGGTAAGGAAAAGCGACAAGTTCATCAACATATATTATCTCGTGTAAAATCAGCATATCTAGAAATAGGACATTTGGATAACAGATATTTGGGTCACCAATATAAAACATTAAGCTCATATAAAGTTGTCTGAAACTGTCTAAAGAAAGATATATAGAAAAGACATGATTATGATGTTGTAATTTATTCAAGCAGTTGTAATGCTTAATGATAGACTGCACTTGGCATCATGCTTGACTTTTCTCAGTGCTGGATAGTAAACTGCACAGTTTCTTGATAAAGACATAATTTCAATTAAAGATTAAATTGACCTTTTGACCTGAGAACTAAAAAGTTATCAAGCTCTGGCCTCCACAAGTTATGTTAAAGCCTCCTCAACATATTTTCAATGACCACCCTGACATTAGGCCTTATATTTTCTTGTGAATTTTTTTGTTGTATTTTACAGTATAGGTCATAATATGATGATGGCATTTTTTCAGTTTTACTGGTGGAGGATGACCTCAGGTGACCTTCCTGACATTATTTCAGGCAAGGATGGGCACCTAAGTAGATCCATCGATGTTCCTTAAGCTAGCTGGATATATTCCTCACATGAAAGAATCCAAAGTCTCTGTCAGGATTTGTTCCCACATTGGTGATAAGCAAGTGGTTTAGAGTCATCAACTTTAACAACTCGGCAACAGACACCCCATTTTCAAGTGAAATTAATCAGACAACAGGAAATGTGTATCTATGGATCACTCCAACCCAGTATCAATTAATTAATCAATTAATAACTTACTGTGAATAAGTTCTGTTTCTTCTAGTTGGTACAGGACTTGGTTCCCTAAACTTGTTGATAATGGGTGAACCAACTGGTGAAATCTTTGCATTGTTAGCAGCCTGGGTATCTGGTAACCCTGATGACATCTTTCCTGTAATTATATCAAAATATAAAATATTATTTCTTACTGTTTGTTAGAAGAACAAGAGGGCCATGATGGCCCTGAGGTCGCTCACCTGTATATAGGCCCCCGAAGCAGGGCTAGTTTAAACCCCAGGGCTTTTATTTGAACAAACTTGGAATTTAGACACCCATTAGAAGATGTTTCATGATGTTAAGTTTTTGCTATACACATATAAGGAAAAACAATGACCTTCTCCCCCCCCCCCCCGGCAGAGTTGATTTTAACCCAAGGGCTTTTATTTGAACAAACTTGGTAGACACCCATAAGAAGATGTTTCATGCTAAACATCTAAGCTCTAGCTCATTGGGTTTTTTAAAAGAAGATTTTTTAAGTTTTTACTATACACATATAGTTAAAAACAATGACACTCCTAGGGCGGGGCCAGTTTTGACCCCAGGGCTTTCATTTGAACAAACTTTGTAGACACTTAATAGAAGATGTTTCATGCTTAATATCTAAACTCTAGCTATTTGGGTTTTTTCAAAGAATATTTTTTAAGTTTTTGCTATACACATATAAGGAAATCAATGACCCCTGGGGCGGGGCCAATTATGACCCCATTGCTTTAGTTTGAACAAACTTTGTAGACACTCACTAGAAGAAGTTTCATGCTTAATATCTAAACTCTAGCTATTTGGGATTTTTTCAAAGAAGGTTTTTTAAGTTTTTATTGTACACATATAAGGAAAATCAATGACCCCCGGGGCGGGGCCAATTTTGACCCAAGGGCTCTTTATTTGAACAAACTTAGTAGACACCTATTAGTACATGTTTCATACTAAATATCTTAGCTCTAGCTCTTTGAGTTCTTTAAAAGAAGGTTTTTTAAGTTTTTACTATATGCATATAGGGAAAATCAATGACCCCCCTGGTGCGGGGCCAATTTTGACCCCAGGGCTTTTATTTGAACAAACTTGGTAGACACTCACTAGAAGATGTTTCATGTTAAATATCTTAGCTCTAGCTCTTTGGGTTCTTTAAAAGAAGATTTTTTAAGTTTTTACTATATGCATATAGGGAAAATCAATGACCCCCTGGGGCGGGGCCAATTTTGACCCCAGGGCTTTTATTTGAACAAACTTGGTAGACACTCATTAGAAGATGTTTTATGCAAAATATCTAACTTCTAGCTCTTTGGGTTCTTTAAAAGAAGATTTTTTAAGTTTTTACTATATGCATATAGGGAAAATCAATGACCCCCTGGGGCGGGGCCAATTTTGACCCCAGGGCTTTTATTTGAACAAACTTGGTAGACACTCATTAGAAGATGTTTCATGCCAAATATCTAAGCTCTAGCTCTTTGGGTTCTTTAAAAGAAGATATTTAAAGTTTTTTCTTTCGGTTGCCATGGCAACCAGAGTTCTGCATGGAATTAAATTCTTTGAACAATTTTTAAAGGTGACCACCAAAGGAACATTCCTGTGAAGTTTGGATGAAATTGGCTTAGTGGTTTATGAGGAGATGTCATTTGAAGCAAAAGTTTACGGACAGACGATGGACGGACGGCCGGACGAAAAGCGACCACAAAAGCTCACCCTGTCACTTTGTGACAGGTGAGCTAAAAATATCAGAGAGCAAATTTTTCTTGACCAGGCCAACATAAATTATGCTTACAAATAAAACATCAATCACAGGCCTTTCACCAGGAATTTTGCCAGTCACAGGGGCAAGTTTTTGTGGAAATGGAGGTGGGTGTGGGAGAATTATTATCATCACCTTCAATCTTAAAATAATCTCACTCCAAAAAATTCAACACACAATAGTTAATATGAGTTAAAGATCATATCTGCTCAAGCACAATTATAGTTATTTTTTTCTATTTCATTTGTGTAAGGTATGTGGAGGATATCATAGCTAATATATATGAGTGATATTTATTAGAGAATATTTCTGTACTTCTATTCATAGACTGACTTTCTAAGAATAAAGGAAGTAAGAGGTAATAATATACATTTTGAACTTGAAACACCTTGAAAACTACGGGGAAAAATCTAAAAATCAACATAATATCAATAATTATTAAAATAGTCAATGTGAGGAAATAAGAATTGTTCAATTCTATTCTTCATACTATAGACTAAAATCTCAAATTCAACCTCCATCAAAATAAGACCCGCACAATAAGCATATTGCTGTTGTGTCACATGGATGCTACAATTGTATACATTATGTTTGAAGTAAATCAGAATAGCACACCTAGTGGAGAACACTGTTACTGATGCAGGAGTTTATATCAGTCTGTACTAATAGCTTTATGTAACCCTCAACCTATTTTTAGTATGAGAAGCTGAAAGTTAGGCACATAACAATATAATTTCAATGTAATTACTATCAGTCTCCAGTAAAATCTGTAGAAACAATTATCCATGTGCACGCACTTTGCCATTCTTGTCATTTCTCATATTTCCTACTCCATAAAAACTGACAGTATTGTAACTCCCCAACACACTTGCAGGAATAGCACAATCTTACCTATTTGTATGTACTATAGAGTGATACACTCACACAGATATTTATTTTCCCTACATTAACACAAAGCTAAACTTCCTTATTACTGAACCATTCATTTTATTGAGTAATCTATTTTTACTGGTTTTTCATATAAAATTTGCCACTTTTGCTTCCAAATCAGCTCTACATGCAAACTCATATCACAGTGATTCAAAGCACAAATTCTAAAAGTTGCAAGTAACAGTTCCTCATCCTCAAATGATCAAAATGTTTGAAATTCTTAAACAGACTAAGTGTAAGATAAAAATACAGACAAATTCATTTTCTTAAAGTTTTTTATTACAACTCTGACTCTATAATCCATATCAGAGATAGCAGAAAATAACATGATAATTCTCAGGCTTATTATGCTAAAGGTCATGATAAATGCAATATTTCTAAGAAATTGCTTCAAATAATCATGATAAGCTATTTTTGTGCAGAATGATTATCTTTTGAATGTACCAAAGTATTGAACAATTGTCACAACACCTATCTGTCATATTAGATAGTCAAACAAAATAATCACATTTTCCTTATAATGCTGTCATGGAGATATGTAATAAGATATTGTCTAAAATGTCCAGGAATGTCAACTATAAATATCCCCACAGTGTTTTGTCAAACTTGGAGATGTAGTAAAAGTTTCCAATGTTGGGTTTTCCAGTATTTCAGTCATAGACTATCAGACTGATATATAAAGTGTTTCTATCATCTGCACCAGTTTGTTTGGTTTTATGGTGCACCAACACAGTAAAGGTCATATGGTGCTGAAACAGCAACAGATGACTTTGGCTAACCTCCGGTGTTACAAACTTCAAAGTACAGTAGGGGTCAATAAATGAGCTACCAAACATAAAGCAGTGGTACAGGATTGAATATTTCAATTTCTTAAAATGCTAAATATTTTGGAAATTGAAAAACATTCTTGCCAACAAATGAGCATTATCTCTCAGAAAAGAACTAAAATTTATCAACAGGTTGTTCTCTTTTTTTCTCCAATCTTAACTTTCTGTGCAGGAATGTGAACATTTTCAGTAAAATATATTTTACGATTCTACTGCAAATCACCACAGGGAAGATAAGATATGGCTTCTGAACAGTTCTCACAAAATAATACTGTGTAGAGGTTGTAAATATCTTATAATTTAGATAATAATAAGTGTAACTATTTATGCTTGAAATCTATCCCTTACTCATAAACAAACATTTCGAAACTATTTGTCTAATAAGAAGCGCTCACTAACATAATTTAAGTTTTATAAAGTAAACAGTTACTAGATAGTAATTTTGGTCACTGATTATTTAAGGAGGATAACTGACATCATAGTTGACTAAATAATTGTTGCAATTTTATATGGAACAAAAGATGCAACAATAATGTAATTCTTTATTTCATATACTATATATTTCTCATGTAATGTTACTTTTGAAATTGATCACTGACTCAGTAAATGACTATACTGACTTGTTTTGACAACCATAGTTTGAACATGATACACATTAACATTCAACATAATTTCATTCAAAGACTAGCACAGACCCTACTAAAACCTGGATAAACTAGAAATGTGTCATCATGCCACGGATGCCCCCGCATGCAGCCAAAATTTCAGATGTTATTATATTTAGTTCCAAATTTGTTTGCACAAATTATTGTTTTCATTTTAAGTTCAAAGCCCTTAAAACTTTTCAATGTTAACACAAACCATTTTCATACAATGTTCAAAGCACTGAAATTATTCAGTCTTAACCTTTTGAAAATAGCATATTTCATATTTGTAGCCAAAATAATGGCTACATACATTTCCACAAAAGTATGAGTGCTGAATCTGAATGTTCAAAATTTTTTCCAATATTCAAGAAAGATAAGTTTGTCCAAAATCATTGAACTACGACCAAATTCAAACTTAAACTGCCTATTCCTAAGATGTATCTATATTATTTTCAAAGTGAAAGGGACATAACTCTGCCAAAAAATCATCGAACCATGACCAAATTCCAACTTGACCTGCCCATTCATTTGACATATCCATATGTCAAATTTGAGTTGAATATGTAACACTGTTGGGTAGATAATGAACAGAAACTGTAAATTTCATATTTTTTTCAAAGTGAAAAGGGCATTACTCTGCCAAAAATTATTGAACCATCACCAAATTCGAACTTGACCTTGGCATTCCAAAAAAATATCCATATGTCAAATTTGAGTTGAATGTGTTGTACTGTTGGGGAGATAATAAACAGAAACTGAAAATTTCATATTACTTTCAAAGTAAAAGGAGCATAACTCTGCCAAAATCATCGAACCATGACCAAATTCAAACTTGACCTGTATTTTCTCATGACATATCCATATGTCAAATTTGAGTTGAATGTGTTGTACCGTTGGGGAGATAATGAACGGAAACTGAAAATTTCATATTATTTTCAAAGTAAAAGGGGCATAACTCTGCCAAAAATCATCGAATCTTGAC